CTTTGGAGGATACCAGGGCTAAGCACCTCGTTTGTTAGATTTGTCTCTTCAGCGCTGTGCCCTCTATTGTCCCAACACGCCTGTTTGCTTACGGGGGCGCTGTTTTGGATAGCTCCGATTTCTGGTCATATTTCATCAGCTACTCGGTTTTATGTTCTTAGGGAGTCGTTATTAATTCCGTTGTCCAAAATGGTGCAAGCGTTGTTGTCTTATGGCATGGCTGGTACATTTCTTGTGGGATCTGGTTCACGGTCGTTTGGTTCAAAATGAATCTCCTATCTCGTGTTAGTTTTCTGTTGCTTCAGGCCTCGGCTCTGATTACCCCTTCACTATCTATTATGACGTTGAATCTTCTCCTTGATACCAGCGAATTCTCTTCTTGATACCAAAGCGAGTTCTTATGATACCAGAAGTGGATTTCTTGTGGCGCGCGCTGGTCGTCGCGGTATGACTTTGGACAGTATACTATACTGCGGACTAGATGGTAGTACTGATGGTGATGGAGACGTAATAGAATGATACGAGGCACTGAAACCACAAGCACACAACACGTATTCTCGCCAAAGTGAAGTCTGCACCAGTACGTCATAGAACCGCCTAGAGGCAGTCAAATACCGTACCTGCGTCAAGGTGCCTGGGATCCTGCATGTTCCATCAAGCTTTCTAGATACACCGCAGAAACACCGTTGTGATGACGGCACGTGACGTATTGTTCTAGCGCATCCGGATTGAGATGTCGTGTCGCGTTTTGTGGGTCCGTCCGCTAATTGATGCTAACATTCACACCCCACCGCGCCGGATGGCATGCACACACTCGACATCATCTCGGTAATCCTTTCTTTTGTCGGCGCTCTCTTTGTTTGCTGTATGCTTGCCACCCTCGGGAAGAGAGGTGCGTCGCTTAAACCGTACAATCCGAAACGGTCGCTGCTCTTTTGCATCCCGCATCCCGCTCGGACGCATTCGCCTCCAACACGGTCCGTCACGCACCTTCCTCGAACGCGTCTCCCGACATCACACCTGCAGCCACCGACTGTCTCGCCCACGACCACACCCCGCCACTACTTTGGCTACCTCTCCACTCGCCCACACACAACGACGACCATGTTCAAGTCAGCGGTGCAGAGCCATAATGCCATCGCGTCTACATCACCTCCAAACAACGCCTACAAGCAGGCGTCGCTCGGGAACACTCTCAATCGCACCGGATCAAAGACATCGTCGACGCGTCCTGTAGGAAGCGAGATGAAAACTGCCATTGGGGCAACTACACAAGGAACTAAGCGGACGTCGAATGGGCTGGCCAAGTCATTGAACTCGCAAGAGAATGACTTCGACTACCCCTCACTCAACATTGCTGAGATTGACGAGAAGGAGAACGAATTGCCGGCTTCATTCCACGCATCTTCGCGCAACAACCCCGGCGTCCTAGCCCAGGCTTTGTTCGATGAAGACGACTTCGATAGCGACATAGATCTTGATGTTGAGGATCCAGCAACAAAAGGCACTGTCACATATCCTACCTTACCGTGCGTTGGTTCGGGAGGCTCAGCCGATTCAGGATACAATTCGAGAGCGCACACTGCAGATATCAAACCAGAGCAGCCTAGTAGCCAGCCAATACCATGGTCTTCCTCACCTTTATCACACTACAAGACACCGCAGAAGCCTGAACCACCGAAGACAAAGCGCCGTATGCTACCATGGGCACAGAGCCAGAAGCAGCAGTCAATACAGGAAGAAGACGAGGAAGAGGCGATTGCGCCCCCTAGGAAAAGGGTGGTCAAGGAGGCCGACAAGGCATTGTCAACACCAGTGAAGGAGTCGAAATCACAATTCCCTTGGAATACGACCCAGAGCGCCTTGAAGCAGCAGCAGAAAACTTTTAGGGAGACAAACAAGGCTCAAGCAAAGGCGAACCAAGGTACTGATGAGGACATGAAGGAAGCCATCAAGAAGAAAAAGAAGAACACCGTTCACAAGATCTTCCTCAGCGAAGAGCAACAGAATGTGCTGAACCTGGTGACCGAGTACAAGAAGAGCGTCTTTTTCACCGGTTCTGCTGGTATGTGCATTAGAATGTTTGTAAACGCCCATGCTAATGACAACAGGTACTGGTAAGTCAGTCTTACTTCGTGAGATCATCGCTGCCCTACGACGGAAATACGCCCGTGAGCCAGATCGGGTGGCAGTGACAGCGTCAACGGGTCTGGCAGCATGCAACATCGGCGGTGTTACCCTACACAGTTTCGCGGGTATCGGACTTGGCAAAGAGCCTGTGGAGGACTTGGTTAAGAAGATTAGACGGAACCAGAAGGCAAAGCAGCGCTGGATGCGTACAAAAGTACTGATCATGGATGAGGTGTCGATGGTGGACGGCGACCTATTCGACAAACTGGAGTCAATTGCGCGGACGATTCGCAACAACGGCAGGCCGTTCGGCGGTATTCAACTCGTCATCACCGGTGACTTCTTCCAATTACCCCCAGTACCAGAGTCCGGACGGCAAGCCAAGTTCGCTTTCGATGCAGGCACATGGACTACAAGCATCGAGCACACTATCGGTTTGCACCACGTCTTCCGTCAGAAAGATCCGGTCTTTGCAAACATGCTCAACGAGATGCGAGAGGGCCGCCTGACCCAGGACTCAATCCAGAAATTTAAGCAGCTGGAACGACCGCTACCAAAGGGAGACGAGAGTGTCGAAGCCACAGAACTTTTTCCCACGCGCCAGGAGGTCGACCGGGCAAATACTACGCGTATGCAACAACTTCACGGCAACGTCTTCTTGTTCGAAGCTCGCGACGGAGGTACGATCACGAACAAGGAGCAGCGTGATAGGCTACTACAGAGCTGCATGGTACCAGCGCAAATACATCTCAAAAAAGGTGCTCAGGTCATGTTGGTCAAAAACATGGACGACACACTAGTGAATGGTTCGCTGGGCAAGATTACGGGCTTCATGACTGAGCAGATGTTCAACGTCTATAAGGAGGATGAAGAGGCCTTCCTTGAAGGTGGACCCTCGGAGGCCGCCATCAAGACTGAGATGATGAAGAGCTCGCTCGGCGTAAACAGCAACCAAGTATACCCTGTCGTTCGTTTCGCCATCGCAGACGGCACAACACGCGATCTGTTATGCAAGCGCGAAGACTGGAAAATCGAGCTACCAAACGGCGAGGTACAAGCATCACGTTCTCAGATCCCGCTCATCCTCGCATGGGCGCTCTCCATCCACAAAGCACAAGGTCAGACACTAGAGCGCGTGCGCGTCGATCTTGGCCGTGTCTTCGAAAAGGGCCAAGCGTACGTTGCACTCTCTCGTGCGACAAGCATGGCCGGTCTGCAGATCCTGCGATTCGATCCTAGGAAGGTCATTGCACACGAGAAGGTGCGCACATTCTACGCCGGTCTGAGTCGAGCGGAGCAAGTCGAGGGCAAAGCGAAGAGCAAGACTATCCTCGGCAAGATGCAGGCTGCGAAGAAGAGGAGTGGTGATGAGTAAGAAAAATGAACGTGTGAGGTAGGGTTTGGTGTATATTGGTTTACGATACGATGGCATAGGTGGTGTTATTCTTTCAGCAAGGGCTGAACGGCGTTTTATTAAGTGTGTATGCTTACATGGCTAGAAAGCATGGTTCTCAGGCCTCGTAGCGACATAATCTTCTCTCACGCGGCGTCTGGATGGGGTGCATAGAAAGATACCAAATCACATCACTGGTCACGGCCGAGATTGAAGATTCCTGTATATTCTTCTCTGGTATCTACCTCAATGTTCTACATAATCATCCTCGGTATCGAATCGCCCGCGATCTTCCCAGGCTCTCTTCGCTCCAACCCCAGCCGTCCCCCATGCTACGTAACTCACTCTGTCGCTGTTCTCTGGTGTTGTTCAAACAGTATCACCGGTCTTTGCGGTCCCCAACAAAGACCACCGGCGTACTAAGCAGATAGGTGTCGATAGCCGAGAGGCTGCCCCGCACCGCCCACCTTCCAGTTCGACTACCAAAAAAAGAGCAAAAAGAAGGTCAACAACATACAACAGCGGGGATTCGCTAGTGGTCACCCACCTAACTACTAATCCGCCGGTATCATGCTTGTATATGGCTGAGCGGACGGGAAGCCTAATTTTCATGATCCTATGGTCGTATGTATAATATTTGGTAGATGTGGGCAATATCAACTGATTTTGGACAAGCCCACAGTCCTGCGGCGGCTATGATCACGACAGCCACTCAATAGACCTAAAGCATTGGCGACTGTCAAACAATATAGTGAGGTTATGGTCCTACTAATAATCGCGTAGCAGCTAGTTTTAAGTAGCTCTGCGTGATCAGAGTACACAACAAGCACGTTTTAGAACCCGTACACGAACGTCACTTTTCTCGAACTGCCTAATGTTCGAATGCGGCGTCACTTACTTAACTATGCCATGGAATCCATTCTTTTTTCCTTTATAATCTATAGTCGACGGCATTACGCCGTAGAATAGTCCCGAATGCGGTGTATCGATTCCGATCTGCGTGAGATAGAGAGTAAGCATTGATGCAAATGCAGTGGAAGCGGCGCTGGTAGGAATTTGAGCGAATGAGGTATCGTTGGCCACGTTACTTGGCGGTTTCAAGATACTCAGAATCACTAGTCCGCAGGTCTGCTTCATTTGGTTCGCTGAAATTGACTTTTTTTTGGGTCTGCCTAACCGAGGCTGATTTTCAAGGCAGACGGTAACACTTCCAGCCAATGATACATGTAACCCAAGTCATTCAGCCTTCTCAACGAGTATATCCCTGTATTCTCCTGCATGTTATGCTCTGAAAGACGCGATATGTCGCAGATGTATTGTGCAAGGGATAATGCAGTCAATCAGGCTCATGGTATGACTGGTCCAGGATGCATTGGCTGAAGTGAAGGACGGTGAGGCTGGATCTCGAAAGGCTGACTTGACCACGGATGAAAGCGCTTTTAAGAGGGGGAGTTTCCCTCAAACGATAAAAGTCCATGGGTTGTTTATCTTGTAAGCCGATAAGACCTTTTTACCAGGGAAGAAGGGTGCATTGTCGTTCTGTGGGTATTCGTGCTGATACTGGCAAAATACCAACCACTAATAAGGTTATCTCCAGTTGCATCATTAAACATATTCCCTCAAAGGGGGATATCTCGACTTGACGAAAGAGCTCTTCAATACTGAACAATATGGTGTCGGAAGGACTGGGGGGCAAGCGAGTTCGTCACACGACAGCATGGCGCCGCAGACGCGGAATGCCAGATATAAAACAAAAGGCAGAAAAGCAACGATATCTTACCCGAGAAGAAGAACAGGTGTTACTTGCTAGCATCAGAGCCACGCTTCAAGCAACAGGCGAAGTTCGTTCACGCGAAGTACGCGAACTAGCAGGAGACATTAAGCGCCGCCGTTCGCGAAACATCAATGACAACACGGTCACCCAACTAATCGCGAATCCTGGGGGAAATTGGCCTGCTCAGTTCCTGGGAGAAAATCGTCGCGAGCTCAATATAAGGAAATCGGGGGGCGGAGCTTGGTTGACAGTCATTGGAGACTTTGTTGCTATGCCTTCAGATGTCGAGCAGCTTTGCTCGAAGTGTGTATCGATCGATTTGCGACTAGAGGCGGAATTAGCACGGCGACCCAACGAAAGTCGTGGAATCATTACTTTCCAGCCTTCTCCAGACAATACAGGGAGAATACAATGTAAATTGTGCAGATTTGTGGAGGACTGCGCATGGAGCTGGGACTGGCCGCCTGCCGACAAGTTTTCGTTGCGAATTCACCATATGGACAGCGTTTATGGTCCTACCCTTGCTACAAGCAAGATCCTGCTGAGTATTTCTATGACGAACAGCTCTTCTAAGAAAAAGCACCAAGGTTGGATTGTTCCAATACCGCTTGGCACTGATGCAAGCATTGATACTAGAGGGGCCTGGGGGCAACTAGGAAAGGCTGTTGACCTCAATCAGACAAGGGACTGGCTCAGATTTTGCGATCAAAATCACACGAGCGGTTGTAGGATGCCCAAGCTCGACACTATCCCATTTTTTCGGCTCATCGACTGCACAACTCGTTCAATTGTCAATGCACCTGATCAAACCAACTATACGGCATTAAGCTATTGCTGGGGTCCTTCTTCAGATCCGCGACAAGAGGATTGGACAGAACTACCCTCAGTCGCTCCACTGGTCATCGAAGACGCGCTCAAAGTTACTCGAGAGCTTGGCATCCCTTACCTATGGGTTGACCGATATTGCAACTCACAATCGGATCCTCATGTTCTGCCCATACAACTACAGCATATGCATGCTGTCTACAGATCTGCATACGTCACTATCGTTGCTGGTTCCGGAATTGATCCAACCTTTGGTCTTCCGGGTGTATCTACTCGCGAACGGAAGCCGCAAGTCTCTGTACAAACTCACGGCTATTACTTGCATTGTATCCCAGATGTTGGGCAGGAGATTCGGAGCAGTAGATGGTCAACGCGTGGATGGACCTACCAGGAGAATTATTTATCGAAGCGACGTCTGGTCTTTACAGAAACGCAAACCTATTTTCAGTGTTGGAATATGCACTGCTGCGAATCTACTCCGTTAGACCTGGAAAAGGCCCACACGAAGAACCTCGAGAGGTTCAGAGATACTATACATACCTTTCGCGTGTATCCTCAAAAGGGTATTGGAAAGACAAGCAACGATGTCGAGCAACGGATCCAAGAATACCTTGGTAGAGATCTGACTAAAGACTCTGATGCATTGAATGCATTCCTTGGGATATTCCAAGCATTTCAAGAGCTGGAAGATCCAGTTTACAATTTTTGGGGGTTACCGATCAGTGACGAACGCTCGATAACACGTACGCACCACACTGTTGTTGAACCAAGCAAGGCGGACGAACTTTATGGTTCATTGCTATCTTCATTAGCGTGGTCAACAGACTTTTGTGATAATGCTAGTACGCATCTTCTGACGAGGAGACTTATGTTTCCTTCATGGACCTGGGCGGCCTGGAAGTGTCTCCCTCTTTTCTCTCGGAAATCGATTACGATGACCCTCGATTCGCCGTCTATAAGCTTCAAGACGTACCAAGGGCAATCTGTGAAGGGTGAACGACTTTTCAGCGCACTAAGGTCGAGTAACAGTACTGTCGTCTTTGAGCCATGCATCTACCTTGACGGATGGGTCACTGATGTACGTTTGTTGCAGGACGCTTCCAATGAGAAAGCCAATCGAGGTTTCCAAGTTCTTTGGCCCATACCGACCCATAGAGTGACTATTGTTGCCGATACCAGCACAGCGACTTCTCTTCGGAAGCAGGCCTTGTCAGGTTCATTCCCTGTTCTACTTCTGGGTAGCGATTCTATTTTTGAAAACAATTCCGCCACTCCAACAGACGGTCTTAAGGACGTACATGCAATAATCATGCAACCTGGCCCGGGCCGTACGCATACACGACTTGGAGTTGTATCCTGGAGTCGCTTGGGAATGCCCTCATATGGTGAAGAAGGAAATGTGTTAAGAATCAGAGAGCTAGTTGAGGTTCGAAGAATTGTGCCTCCGTGTCGTTGTGGCTGCAAACCTTCGACCGCCACTTTCATCAATCGCTACATGGAACTTCCTGATCATGTGATGGAGTTTAGAAGAGCGAAGATCAGACTTGTCTAGACCAGTAGAATGTCAGATATCATCAAGTTGAGGAAGTGTGTCAGAACGACTTTCAAAGGAAGGTGTGACTAGTAATGAAATCGAGTACCAAGAAGATGAATAGAGTAAGAATGTCTACAGAGAAAGAGAAGTAAGCGTGACCGCAATGTGATTGAAATGGCTCAAGACTGCGATCGTTGGATCAAGAGTTCAGCCGCTGTATCGACACGAGAAGGGCTCACTTCTTAGGGGCAGAAATCCGTCCCACGAATCCCAAATATGTGAATGTGCAGCCTGCAATTCCAAGACAGTACCGCGATAGTCGAAAACTAATTTTCAAGATCCCAGGGTCGCATGTACAATATTGGGTAAGTCTGGGCAATATATCCTCGTTCACAGCTAATCTGAAGTCCAGCACAGTGGTTGCGCCCCCTAAAACCCAGAGCTACACGCGTCCCTCATCTGACTCCCAGTCGTTCAATGAGAAGATTGTGGCACCGACAAGATGTTGAATACCAGTAATGAGCGTCTGCATACCACTAGCTTCCGTCCCTATCTCTCTGGCAGCATCTAAGGCTTTCTGCAGATCTGGTTCGTAGACGATATAAGACTTGGGGTGTACTTGCCTCCGAATTCCACGGAACGCTTGCTGCAGCATATCGTCCGGCTTTGCAGTTACAGCTATATCACGGTCAGCAGGCGAGCTTTCGTACGAATAAGGGTAGGTAGCTTCACCTGTTGTGGAGTCAAAGTCTTGCCTTGGATCGTACGAAGCGGAAATGACATGATCGATACGAACAGAGCTGAGAGCAGTTCCTAGTCGTTCGCGCACGAAGTTCGCGTCTCTCTGCTTCGACAATTAGCTGAACATCAAGATTCATACTGGAGATGCGCTATAACCGTCAGTGGTAGGCCGCAGGATGTGATTTGACGGGTTGAGTAATTCTCTCCCTGCGAATTCTCGATGAACCATTATGCGGCCTTGGTGATGCTCATTTCATTGTGTGCGTTATCAAGGAACCAGCTGAACGCTTCTTCAGCAACAATCTGAAACCGCCCTGGCCATGAAAATTGCTTTATGCCTCGCGAGATATCCGAGAATGATAGTTGTGGGGTTCCTTTTGGGGCTCTATCCTCAAGGGAATAGCGAGCAGTAGCAAGTGCAATGGAGCAATCCATGCGCTGCACATCTGGCTTCAACTGCGGTGCATCCGCTGGGAGAGACGGATCGTTTTCGGCAAATTGGGGGCAGACGCCTTTCTCAGCCGCGCGATGGCGAAGAACTTGAGCAGCGGGGTGCTCTTGAGGAGATGAGAACGCATGAGTCCCGCGCTTGAAGATTCCCGCTTTATGTCAGGCGATGTCTTCGATGCTCGGCCCTAGCTGCTGGACATGATCCATTCCAAGTGCATGACCAACGTTGTCACTATCACACTTTGCGCAATAACGCTGTCAATTTCCAGCTGCCTGATGGCGAAGTATTCGACATTATCATCAACATGTGTAAGCCCGAAGCTCATGGGATCGGAAACGACTGCAGCATCTCTCTCGAGGTACATTTGGCAATCCGGTCAACGTGCAGCCTCTCACATCTGTCGTCATGGGTGTGTTAACCAAGGCCGTGGAGCGATCCAAGACAACCAAGATAGGACACTATCATGGCGGCAACTGCGGTCCAATGGATGAAGGTTGTATTCCAGATGACTACGAATTCGAGTATCTTGTCTAGACTTATCCCCAGACGGGCAAGGTATCGGTGACTGTCGAACCGGAAGGATATCCCGAGCTCGCTGCGACTCAAAGCATACTTTCGTGGAGTACGCAGTGTGCCTCGAAGAGTGGTGCGTTTTGTTGGTCGGCTGTCGGAATCATTGCGGACTACATGGGGGGAATTGTTGGGCCTTCCGCCTTGGGGAGCTCTTGCCTGCTCATTCTGTTAAACACCTCATCTCCTGGTCATCAAAGTGTAAATTCGGATAGGAGAGAGCCTCGGCTAGGAGCAGGAGTTTGTCTCATCAGAACCCAGGTAGCGAGTCAGTATGTTTATGGCACGTGTTTCCTTCGGGAGTTCACTGTCGTTACAGGGAAGTTTTGCCATATGGAGGAAAAGGTTAGAGTACGTACAGAAAGGCAACTTATCGATAGCGTTAAGATCGCGCATTCATTATCGATAATCAAAGACCCCTGTGCCGCATAGACAATGGTGGTGAATTTAATGCAAGCACTACACGGGCGTGGGCGAGAGATTATGTGGGGAAGAGGCATAAATAACCACGCCGTCGTGGATTAAAGCCTGAGGCATCCACATTTAGCAGCCAGCTCCCAATTCGGCACCGGGTAGCGTCTCAATTTGCGAGAACAGGCCGTGATTGGATTGTGCCTGTCGTCTTGGGCGGTGGAGACGTTGCGCTAGTCAGCTGCAGCCAATTTCAGGGTCCGTTAGAGTCCTGTCCGGCGCTGATCAGGGAACATGGCGGCTGGAGAGGGCTGTGGCGAGCGACGGTGCCGGGCGTGGTGATGACAGTTTAATGTGTAGGGACCGTCAATGGGGCGGCTGTGCAGCAAACAGAGTAGGTTGTATTGTTTGCATGGCAGGGTGGCGGCATTGTTGGGAGCCCTTTGCTATGGAGGCGGTCGCGACTGCCCCAGATCGATAGCGGCAATCTCGGCGGCAGGTACCAACGTCGCGGCCCCTCCCTCCTCTGTCGTCGCAGGGCAGCAGCATCGTGACCTTCCTCGTGCACTGCTCTGACTCTCCGGGCTCCAACAAAGTCGTCCTCGCACACTATCTGTCGCTCTTATTTGTCGCTGCATACCTTGGCCGCCGCCAGCCAGTCAGCGCGCGCACAAAGTCAGTTTCCGGCGGCTGAAACGCTGCAAGGTCCAGCGTGCGTCCACCGCCCAGAACAACACGAGCACCACGCTATTCCCCTGCGCTCCCTAGCTCCACCTCGGCCTCTCCAGTCCATACTCTAGTCGTGAGTGCAGACTATGTATACTCGCTGCCCGCCGCCATGACTGCCTCAAATCTCTCGCCGCCGGTGAATGTGAATGAGGATCTGCAGCACGACGATCTTGTCCAACGCCTGAAGTCCATGCCCACCGCGAGCGCCCATACAGGCCCGATACCTCTCAAGAGCCCGAAGAAGGCACCGGCTGCTACAAAGCCCGCTACAGACGACGCATCCTGCTTACGCTCAAGCCCGCCCTCCGCCGACACCATGGGAGAAAGCAACACGCTCGCCCGCCAGCTCAGCAACGCGTCCGACGACAGCATGCCTTCGCGCCGGCCCTCTACACCACGCTCCCAGACAGACCCCCAGCCTGACACGCTGACGTCTCTCGTGTCTCTCACCACCCGGCCACGGAACCGCTCGCCCTACTCGCGCTCCCACCTGCGCTCACAGAGCGGGTCTGCGTTACCGAATGCGCCGCCTATGACACGGGCCCATTCGCTGCCTACCGTCATGCAACCCTCTGGCAATCTCATGCTCTCGCCTACCCCGATGCCGCTCGCCTGCCCGGCTTCTCCTCTGCGCTCCCCCAAGCGGACCCGCAGCCCACGCGCACTCGAGCCACGCCCGCACTCAGTAGGAACCACGGAGCGGTACGGCTCGGGTATTCGTCCAGCCTCCATCGGCTCTTTTGACGGCGTACCGAGTGTGTGCGACATATCAGAGGACGCCGAACTGGAACTCACGCCACGCGTTGGCACCACCGTGTCGAGCCTCCACAGCAGCACGGGCTCGCTCTCCAGGCGGCGCCGACCAGCTTCACCGCTATACCAAGTTACCGTACCATTTGGTGCACCACCCACCAGTACCCCCTCTGTCAGCACGCCCACCTCCACTGCCTCCTCACCGCTCCTCGCACCTTCCAGGTTCAACGAGAACTACCCCATGTCCCATGCCTCTTCGTCCGTGCCATCCACCCCGACCTCGATGCGCTCCCGCAGCCCTTCCATTTCGTCTCTCGAGACCATCGAAGACAGCCCGGATGCAGAAGAAGAAGCCATAGAGGCTGATCGCATACGGAGGCTCAAAGCTGCGGCGGACCGTGAGGACGGCGGAGATGCCAGGAGGTCGAGTCTGGACGTGCCCGAAAGCCGTGGACGCAGTCTCGGCTTCGGAAAGCGAGACTCACGGAAGAGATGGAGTGTCTGTGGAGCTGAACGACGCGTCGACCTGGACCTGGACACTATATGGGAGGACTAATTGAACGACACATGAGTACGTCCTTTCTAGTACCGTCAGCGTCATTGCATTTTTCAAGTATGCGACTTTGAGCGTACGGAGTTTTGGGGTTTGATTTCGGCGTACGGTTGGTCCTGCACTTTTTCCTTCTCACATTATGATCGTCATCCAGCACGGCTCGGAACAATGCCCATGGATGGAACGAAGATGCACCTCTCTTTCACGCATATGGTATGATATATTTCAACGACACGACACACGGTCGCAGCATGATACCCTCTTCAGAAGCTCTAGTTTTGCACAACAGCACTGAGGCTATCCTATAGTATGACTGCATTTAGTAACCTGCAATACAATACCGATTTGATCAAGCTTTCTGTTTACTCATCTGTTGACCTTTGCCCCTAGTGTCTAGTTTTGCTGACTACTGCCGCTTTGGGTAGTCGGAACAGTCGGCCAATGACATCACACTAGCAGCCGAAGCTGGAGCTTACTAGTGGGGTTGAACGCGACTGCCCCTCGACGCGAACAACGTATTTATACCAGGTCAACTCCTTCTCAAACGCATACCAAAGCCTTCTATCAAACAAGAACCGCCAATATGATCAACCTCGGCATCATCGGAACCAACTGGATCACTCACTCCTTCGTGGAGGCCGCGCACGCAACAGGCAAATACAACCTCTCAGCCGTCTACTCACGCAAAGAAGAGACGGCGAAAGAATTCGCATCCAAATATTCCGACAAGCAAGTCAATACCTATACCGACCTGAATGCCTTTGCCCAAGACAAGATCGACACCGTCTACATCGCAAGCCCCAACATCCTGCACTACGAGCAAGCCAAGCAGCTCCTCAACGCAGGCAAGAATGTAATTCTCGAGAAGCCCTCCTGCAGCACCGTCGCCGAACTCGACGAACTCTTCGCCCTAGCCAAGTCGAAGAAGATCGTACTAGTCGAAGCCTTCCGCCACATCCAAGAAGCAAACTTCAAGCTGCTGAAATCGAAGATGTCTGACCTAGGTCCGCTATACGGCGCATCCATTACCTTTGCGCAGTACAGCAGTCGTTACGAAAAAGTGCTCCAAGGCGAGGTCCCCAACATCTTCAACTTGGAGATGGGCGGTGGTGCGCTTGTAGACTTGGGCGTATACTGCGTCGCAGCCGCCATCGACCTCTTCGGCGCACCCACCTCGTCGCAATACTTCCCCGTCAAGATCGCCACAGGCGCTGATGGCGGCGGCCGTCTTATTCTCACATACCCCAACTTCACTGTTCATCTCTGCCACAGCAAGATTTACAACTCCGATGCCCCGTCTGAGATTTACGGGGAGAAAGGCACGCTGATTGTACCCACCATCACGGATATCAACAAGATTACCTTCTGGGACCCGAAGAAGAAGACGAGGGAGGATGTGAAGGGGGTGAAGGAGCCTGAGAAATTGAATCTTGTAGAGGAGGCGAGGGAGTTTGCGAGGTGTATTGAGGAGGGGGATCAGGAGGCATTGGAGAGGTTGGAGAGGCATAGTAGGGATACGTTGGCGGTTATGGAGAAGGTGAGGCATGATAATGGGTTGGTTTTTCCTGGGGGAAAGTAGATGTGGGCATCGTACATGGTGTGATAGATCGAGAATGGGAATAGTAATAGCCATGGATCTGCATATGGTTAATTGGATGTTCCTTCTTTCCATCCTTTGTTCATAGGCTGCATGCTCCCGTCGATGAACATGAGAAAGTAAAAAGATGGCTGGGCGGTTGGTATGGTAGATGAAATGGGGACAGCATCATCTGCATGAGCGCACTGCAACGTCCCATAGGTGTGGTAGATGATCGACATGGGAATCGCAACATCTGCACATGATCACTTGCATACGGTTGTTTCTTCTTCCCACCCTTCGTTCGTAGGCTGTACGTTTCCACCGGTGAACATGGAAAGTAAGACGAAGTTGAGGCAGTCAATATGGTAAACTGAAATGGGAATAGTAATATCCACATGTGATCACTCGGACATTGCTTCTTCCCTTCCTTCCTTCGTAGGGTGCTTGCTTCCGCGGATGAAGATGGGGATGATGAGGATATTGCGGCATCCGGAATCGTGATTGAAACGGGAATAGCAACATCCGCATGTGAACAACTCGAACATTTCTTTTCCCCTCCATGCTTCCATCGGTGAACACGGGAAGTAGGACGAGGCTAGAGCCGTTGGTGGTTGATGGAACAGGATTAGCAACATCCTCATGTGATCATTTTGAACGTTCCTTCTTTTCCTTCCTACGTAGGCTACATGCTTCCGTCGGTTAATATTACTCCAGCTGGAGAGCCGTAGTATACCAAGGTACACGTCCCGGTCCGCAGGAAGGTGTTCGCAATGCTGATCTTGTGGATCGGTGAGCTAGAGGATCTGATAAGCTGGGGGTAGGGGTGGGGCAGAACTGCCCGACACACTGGAGCAGATCATCTTGCATGTTGCATGTATGCTCTGCGATCTGACAGGGTGGAGCTAGGAAGCAAGGCTGTATGGGAAGTCACTTGATACGTGTTGCATGCCAAGTCGTCATAAAAAGCGGTCTGTATACTGCATGCGACAATGATTCATCACTGTATTGGGCGATCAATTGATAGATGGAGTGTTCTGACAATCGCGATGTCTCCCGTCAGAGCATAGATTATCGTCTGAGACGGCCATGATTTGCGAAGATCGTGAATGGCTCGTCGCTCTGCGTTATCGCAGTGCCAGCGGACAGGTGCATGACATATTGGATTCTATTCATCACAGATGAGTATGCGCAAACTGATGATTGTAGTGAACAAAACTTCATCATTGAATTGAACCGGGTTGTTTTCGCTGTCTAAGCTACTACCATACCCGTCCCTTCTCCTCAAACTGCTCCCCATAGAATAGAATCTCGTACAACGAGCCAGGTAGACTCTAGGAAGTCTCAAGAATCGAATCAACTCCCAGTCCCACCCTCCTCCTGCCTCCTTCCTTGCTTCCCATCGCGCAAGTCCTTCCAAGTTGAAGTCGCGGCTTCGGTATCATTTCGTATCGGTACTCGTAATCGTACATGTGTTGGGTATTCTGCTTTCTCCTGCTCTCCTTTTGACTTGACTGAGGTGTCGTCGCTGTCACTCCGCACTCAAGTATATGTGTTGTGTGCGTTATGAGGGTAGCGGGGGCAGAGGTCGGTTTGGTGGTGGGCCCGGGCAGGGAGGAAGTGTTGTCAAGTATTTTGATGGCATGTTGATGATGTGTGTGGTTGGTTGTTTGTTGAGGTTGTGATACCTCAGTGTGCGATGTGTCTGTGGCTGCTGTGGGAAAGCAGTTGGTAAAGTTGGTGATGATGTACAAAACCAAGTCTGGTTGAGATCGTAGAAGATGACTGATCAGATGAGCTGATGAGAGTAGATGAAAGCTGATGGTTGGATGGTGATCATTTACAAGGGAAATGTACCCTCCATATATACACTCGAACCTCTACACGCCCTCAACACCAATCAAGGGGTTAAACCTGCAACCCACAGTTCCAAAAGAATAGCGTATAGCCGCAATCAACGAACGATGAGAAAAGCACCGCCGATCGCCCGTAATGATCACCATCCCATACCCACCGCAGTTCCATCAGAAGCAATGCGTCTACTTTGGGATTGGTCTCACCACCGTCAGCGACAGATGTTAGCCAGGTTCAGGGTGTCTGCTTCCGCGGAAGGCCATCCAGACTACGCCTGCTCGGTACCTTACAACGAGATGTGACGACAGGGAAACAAGGTTCAAGACCCTACTTCCCCCTCGGGGCGACTAGCATGCTGCTTTTTCTTTCGCGAGTGAAGCTAGGAGTTTGAGAGGCACCGAGCAGAGGGAGAGGTGGCTAGGAGCTTGCTTTTTCCTCTGTAGCGCGCTTTTTCGCTGGATAGGGAAAGACGAAGAGAGGGACAGACAGGGGTTATGTGCGCAATACAGCTGTCAGTGCGAGCGAGCGTCTCGACTGGTCTGTCTCCACGTGCGTTCATGCTGTCTCAGACTGCGGGTGGCGTGGACGGTGAAGAGCTGTCAACTCTTCGTTCACCGCGATACTGCATCGAGATCTCAGCCTCACCCGCCACACGTTTTCCAAAAGTAACTGCCACACCCTCTGCCACGCAACGAGGTGTTTCGATGCAGAGCGGTCCAGACGCGTTCTTTCCTACAGAGGGCGTCTGAGCTGGGCGAGTGGGAAACGTTCTCGTTGGTACCGAGCTGGACTCAACAGTAACCTGCGGCCTGTGGCTAAATCTCCGCGCCTTGATTGTCAGCACAAAAACGTCTCAGCTCGTCCTTGTCTTCCTTCTTGGTGGTCAGGCCATCATCGATTCATTGATGGGAGAGAACACAGGCTCGCTTCGCTAGGGTCTTGGGCGCAAAACCTTCAGCCCTTTCTTCCTCCCTCTTACGCCGAACCTTCCTCAGGCAATAGTCCCTGCGTCTCTTTGTACGAATATCATGCCATGTCCCCTCTTTCGTCGGTCACTCCGAAATTTTACTGTCTTAGTCTTCGTCCTTGGCGTATTTACACGAAGACTAATCACGCCCGTATAGGCGGGATAAGTTTGGTCGTGGTAGAGATTGCGCGACGAGCAGACTGGTGGAAGTTACGCAAGCGCATGTATGTTAACACCGGTGAGCTTATTTAGTGATGCTGGTGGCTTCACGCGCCGAGTGAGCCGTTGGAACAGCGCGGGTGGAAGTAAACGTGGTGGAGAATGATGGTTCCGCAATATCCAGGCTGAAAGAAATGATGTGAGGCTTAGCGCATGTTCAAGTGTACCAAGAGTTGCAATGAGTCTGCGCCAGATCGGACCCCTGCTGACCAATCATCTAGAGACTGGCAAACTTAGCTGAGGACCGTCTCCCGCGGATCTGGCATATCTGACATCTGACGTGCCCGCGCATTCCTTGCCCATCTTGCTGCATGTGAAGAACTGCTCATGTGCACTGGCCATGTAGATACTTTCGCCACTTGGGCCTCAAGATAGCGTGTCAGCTCTTTTTAGTTCTAGATCTAGGTGTAAGCGACCTTGCTCCGCGGAGTACACGTGGGTTGCCCGTCCCAGTGTCGCAGAATGGCAGCCGTTCAGAACTCGTTTCGGGAGCGAGTCGACCGCTGCGATATCGTGTTGTGGATGCCGATGTTGCGAGAGCCGACACTGCCGCGCCGGCAGACTTCCCACAGTCTGGGACGCCGAAGAGTCGTCATGTCAAGAACACTGTTCGTACCAAGCTCTGCCCCTCCTCTCCCTTCAAGATCCCCACCAGGGGCTAACAGACTATGTGTCGCATTGTTCCATACATAGTACTATCCTTCACCAAGGAGATATTACACTAGATAGTGTATTCATCGAACTCAGGCGGTGATTATGATCTTTCAACAATAAGCTATCTTGGACATACCATCCGACACGAAGCCTGACATCCCCTGATGCCCCTCATGTTGAGCCTCAACGCGACCAGACAAAAGCGCGTTGTCAGCTGGTATTTTGCACGCGATCACAGACCCGCCTCCCCGTTAGCTTTACAGCTGCTCCGGGTACTACGAGGGCTTACGTTCCGCATAGCTTCCGCCACCCGTTGGTGTTGTGGTGGCCCACGGTGGCAATTGCGGTGAGCCCACCCCGTTTTCACGCGAGGAGACCCAGAGTCTGGAATGCGGTGGCTGAAAGCTGTTGAAGTGAACATTGGGACCGCAAAAGCTAGTTCGTTTCAGTTGCGAGAATTCACCCGATCGCGCTACTCTGTGATTCGACCATTTGAAAATCAGCTCATTGGTGGCTTACCAGTTAAGAGGTCTCGTCGATATGGGGTGCTGGGATATCGTTGCGTTAACCGATCGCCCGTACCGTCTACCCAGATTGTAGAGAACGCAAGTTTAAGCCTAGAAGACCAATCATTGGAGGGGTCTGCTTGGCGTGGCCTTATCGACAACAGAGAGCAAAGCCGCCGGAGGACTCAGTGGGACCGGCTTTAGTCAACTCCTTCGTGAAACTATTTCCTGAGTACCCGAGTATAGCCGTAGTAGTGATGAGTGCAATAGTGTTCGGCTGCTTGTAGCCAGAAAGCCAAGCTCGTTCACTCCTTCACAAAAGGGCCGATATGAAGTATTGGTCGTACGACTGTCGCGTGGAGACAACGCGATAGTGCCAAGCGATGCTCGTTCAAAGGCTTGATGTCATTCATCTCTTGCATCTCTACATCTGATCGACCTGCTAGTAGAAGGTTCGACGGGTCAAAACTCCAAGGAACCTATTGTTGTCGATACTGGGGTAGCGCCGCATTCGATAGTTGGCTGACAGTTTAGATGGGTGAAGTTTCGTATCATATCAGTACGATTCGATGTACGATGAGGTGTCAACGCACGTTCTAAGGATGATACTGGCTGGGTTTGACGACATGGCGGCCATGATTCACGCGAAAAGTGGATTATGGCGTAACTCGACCATACTGCGCAACAAAGACGATAGTCGTTGCAGCCAGCTAGCATAATGAGTTGTCAGCAGGAGTAAACAGCTCAGCCTGCACCAGCCCAGCACGTGTTGTGTAAGAAGAGAATGACGCATGGTCAGTAGATCTACAGCACTATCAGCCTACCCGACCGGAATTTGAGATACCAGAGTTGATGGTTACTAGTTTTCCCCGTATCGGGGGTAGATACTAACATGGTAATGCCAAGACTCGTGCTCCGTATCAACGCTTGCTCCCTCCATATGCGTATTCCCAGAGCTCTGGGTATAATCGCGTATGCTGCTGAAGTGAGTATAGCGCTTTCATGTAGCGAGTAGCGAGTAGTTCACATGGTGGAGTCTGGACGATGGAAGGCAGGCTAACGTTGAGCTTCGTCGTCAACGGCGCAAAGATGCGGGCCGCGCTTGCCTGGAAGCACATGTCAAAATTTAAGGCCTAAATCGACGTGCGGTTGCTGACTGTGTCTGTTAGGCACCCGACGACACGATTCAAGAAAGATGCTCCGAGCGAGGCGGACGACTCAGACAAGCTGTCCTCGTAAGTTCCGGAAATATGACCTCCTGCATGCGGCGCACATACTACAGTAGGCCGTAGTGATGTCTAAAGTGTCGTCGGCTCTCGCGGCATGCACAGACCTCATATGAAAGGGCGGTGGTACCCCACATTCTCTCTCATCCTGCTGAAGACGATCGTAGAGAACATTGCATGCGACGAACGCCCTGAATCTGGACTTGTAGTTCTTTCATGCCCATCAACCTGGTCTTTTGAACAGCGTTGTTGACCTGTTTCCAGGCAGATTCGTACCATGGTACTCGCGAATCCGGCTCGGTCCAGCAACCACGTCGCGTTAGAAGATCGAGGAACATGTCACGAGAAAGAGAAATCCCAGTTCGTTGAAGACAGCGCCAAGACCTGGGGTCAGAATGCGCTATGCACTTTGAAGTGCTCGTAGGTATCAAGTGATGCGCCACCTGGTGGATACCGGTCTTTGTCTCGCCTCTTAATCAACCCCACTTGCACTGTGGTACAGAGCACTATCAGCGCGATAATTCGGTCGGTGGCTGCTGATACCTTTGCTGTGTCACCGACGTGCTTTGGTCGAATGCAGCGATGGTGGCCGAGTGGCATGACAGTTCATCAGGGCCTGGGTGCAAAGGTCAGAAGAGATCGAAGGGCTTGTGTGAAAGGTAAAATTGCGTTGGTCGGCATCTCCCGTGGATGGAAGGCACAAGTCCGCGACGAGACTTCAGGCTGCAGGAACACATCCGGCAGATGAGAGTGGAGGATAGTGTATATGTTCATGAAGGAGTTTATGGGATTTTGTCCTGCAGGGGAGCGTGGACTGGGCTCCGAGACGTCCCCGGGCCATCTGTTGCGTCAGCAATCGCAATCGTTTAACGCGGTCTAGCTATTTACGGCTAGCTTCATCGCTACCCGAACATCTCGACTCCGGGGCTGCGGCCGCCCGGCAACTGCCTCTAGCAAGAACGCGGGAGTTGGAAATGAGCCAACGGCGAGCTTCCGCATGGTCCCTGGGATCAATCATCTGAAGGGGAATTTTGGCATCGTCTGTATTGTTGGTGATGTGGAAATTGTGAGTGGCTTGTCGCCCACATGTCATGAGGTGAGTGGCTCATCGCAGTACCACAAGGAGCTGACTTGGATAACCTCTTCTGAATCAGTGGCGACCAACCTAAGAGAAAATTCGAGGAGAGCTTTCGATGAGCGCTACTCTGTAGTTTAGCTCTCTTTTCCCTTAGATCTTATTTGTGGTGTTGTAGTCTGCAAGAGGTCGAAAAGGCGATATTGTCGCAGGCCTTACTTCCGGATACTGCGATCGTCCTAAAGAATTGCATCTCAGACAAAGTTTCACCCCAGGGACCAAAACTTGATAGTCGATGGAGCCAAGATTCCTCGAGAGCTACCACCACGCTGGGCATCTCCCGGCTGCGATCAAATAGGACTCGCCATTCAGATCTCAGTCGATGTGCCATGCGGCTTCCGCATGAGCGGGATTGGACCGCACACCAGATCATATATACCGCTATCGCATACAGCAATTCGCGCTATTCAGTATTGTTTCTCGGAATTGGACGCGTATCGGTGACTGACTGCTAAAACAACCTTGAAATGGCGCCAGGATATAGCCTCTTTCAAATTGGCGACGTGATACACGTCCAGAAGCGTGCATCCAGACACTAGGTCTCACAGCCATTCTGGAAGCCACGATTTGCTCTTTCATCTAATTTTCCAACTCGAAAGTGAGGTCACGCGTAATGAGAATAGGCTTGCGATATGCCGTCTGGCGGCTTTCAGAAACCGACTACGCGCGACGATTGAGAGCGAGAAGGCAGCTACCCTAAGCGCTCACCGGCTTGAATTCATCTCTTCTGCCCGATACATGCTATCTCTGAGCCTAGACTGGTATCTTCGATCTAAGGATTCGGGACTACTGAATGAACAAAGACATTCGACATCATCTTTCTAGTGTCCCATGCTTTCCCGTTCTGACATCTGTCACACAGGATTGGTACTAGCATTCACCATCAGTATATACCTTCACTTCCGTATAAAGCTCGTGTCTTCAACACATCAATCTCATCACCAGCACCTCACTCTACCACCTTCGCCTTCACCTTCAACTATCTCTCTCCCTCTCCCTTTCTCTTCACAACATCCCCAACATGTTCAGCATCAACAATCTTCTTCTCGCCCTTGGGCTTGCTGCTTCCTCAGATGCTTTCTTCCGAATGTCTTGCCCGGGACGAACTGTCCGAGAGCGACTTGACCCCATTGTCAATCCTGGAGCCGTTTCTGGCCATGTCCACACGATCTCAGGCGGAGCCGCCTTCAAAGCCTCCATGACCTACGCCGACACCCGAGCTTCCAAGTGCTCGTCATGCACGATAAAAGTGAGCCAGTGACCCCGTTGCACGTGCTACTTATCTAACAATTTACAGGAGGACATGTCCAATTACTGGACGCCGCAACTTTATGTCAAATACAAGGACGGATCTGGCTTTGCTCCTGTTCCAGTCATGGGTGACCCAGACGACACCAACGGCGGCATGACCGTCTATTACCTTCAGCGTCGAGGAGACAATCAGACAGAGAAACTACATGCTTTCCCGGAGGGCTTCCGCATGGTCGCCGGTGACCCATTCACTCGCAGCTACGACGGCAGTGTTGCCGCCCAGGGCATCTCATTCAACTGCCTTGGTGCAAACAAACCGGAAACTAACGGTCTCCCCAACTACCCGTGCTCAGGCGGGTTGCGAGCCCAGGTCTACTTTCCTCAGTGCTGGGACGGAAAAAATCTTGATCCCGCAGATCACAAGAGCCATATGAGCTACCCAGAGGGCGATGTATACAACAGCGGCAACTGCCCGGCCTCGTATCCTGTGCACATGATATCGATCTTCTTTGAGATCTTCTATGACACGGCCCTGTTCGCGGACCAGTGGGTTGATGGCAAGCACCCGTTCGTCTTCGCCCAAGGAGATGCAACCGGCTTTGGCTTCCACGGCGACTTCTTGAACGGATGGGATGTCAAGGTGCTTCAGAATGCCGTCGATAATTGCAACGACGCCGGGGGTGCAGTGGAAGACTGCCCAGCCGTGACCATGTTCACCGACCGAGAGTGCAACGACTGCAAGATCCCATTATCTGTCAACGAGAAGACTAGTGGAAAGCTTGCTGCACTCCCCGGCTGCAACCCCGTCACCCATGGCCCGGAACGCGCTACACCGGGAAGCTGCCCAGGCAACACCACACCACCAACAGACTCCGGTGGCTCCACCGACCACGACGACTTGACCGCAATCCAGGGCTGGGAGTACCTTGGCTGTGGCTCCGACAATGTGAGCGACCGCGCCATGAATGGCTCATGGACCTTCAACGGCTACATGTCAATTGAGATCTGCGTCGACTACTGCGATTCCCGCGGTTTCACCTACGCAGCGCCTGAGAACGGCAACGAGTGTTTCTGCAACAACAGCCTCAATCCCAAGTACGCACCCAAAGCCGGTATCATGGGCTCATGCACTAAGTCTTGTGTGGGCAATGTCAACCAGATCTGCGGCGGTGCAAATGCGATAAGCATCTATCACAAGTGCTCCGGCGGCACCTGCCAGAATAACAATGATGGTGGTGCGGCGCCGGTACAGAGTAAGGCATCCGTGGCTGCTAGGTGGATTCCCCTGTCTACCATGTCTACGGTCGTAAAGGCTGCTGCTGCTACTCCGGTGGTCTTGTATGGGTAGATTCGACATGTGATACGGATGGATCTTGCAATGCTGACTTAACGGCCTCGATGCCACTCTTTTATGGGCTGCTTTCTTTGTAAATCTGCAAGCGCATCAAATATTTGACTGATGAATACAAAACATTCTTACCAATACGCCATCCTTTCAACCTGCTTTGCTGATACCCGCGCGAATAATATACACCGTCCATCCGACAAGAAATTGTGATGTTTTTGATCAGCTGTCATCTAATTTAGGAGGCGCATTACCATAGCGCGAGCGGATGCAAGGTACCCCGCTGGCTAGCTTGAACGTGTGGGTATAGTTTGGTTGTCAATAGCACTAGTGCACCAGTGGTATGATCAGAGCGGCCGTTAACCAAGGTGGAGACATAATGCATACCAGAAGGTAGTTCCACAATGGCATATCCAAAAAGCAGCTGAAACAACGCCACGAAGCATGAATTGAAGAGCAAGGCTCGCAACGAACCGTGTGGAGTATAATGTGTTGGTATAGAATCCAAATCATGAGGCTGATGCGACAATCTTCCTATCCAAGGAGAATATATCAAGACGCTTGTCAAGGCTCATTCTCCAAGCCACGCACCTGCTGTTTGTTGCAGCGTTTGTGCTCCGAGTTCCAAGACGACCCTCTCATGTCACCATTGTCATTTGCTGTGCCGAGTATCTCCCTCTCAGACGCACCATCTTCACTATCATACGCATCAGCCATTCCGTGTCCTTGTAGTTCCAATCTATAGTCCTGGCGCGTCGCGGATGGTCGAGTTGCTTCGGAAGTGCCGATCAAAGAGGGGGCGACGTGCCTGACGAACAGCCGCAGGGTTGGGAGAGAACCGGTGATGATGATGAGGCTGGCTTCGATAAGGCTAATGGAGCTTGTTAGCAGGGACGCATAGAGCTGATGCTTCACGAAAGCTGCGCGCTTACATCCACAGACTCGGATACACAGTGTCCCAGGAAGCGTCTTTCGAAGTCAACATTGGAGGAAGTAATGCGACGCGCACCGCACTTGTCACACATGTACTGGCTCCTGAGTTAGTCATATTCGCGCATCTGGGTTTCAAAGCTCACACCGAACCGGCGCTGAAGATTCCTATCACCATAATCTTTCGCTCCTTCGACATCTGCAGTCTCAAAACCATGGGTATTGGCAGGATGATGACCATGATGTCCGTGATGATGTTCAGCACTCCAGTAGCGATGTACAACGCCGCTTTGTTCAAGCACTGTCCTTCTGTGACGGTGACATCGATGTTCTTCGCAAACGGCCTGCATGCTGCAAGCAAAGAGACGACGATGCCGACACAGGATCCGACGACGACGAATATGGTGAAGTAGACCCCAGCGCGGAAGCCGCGTGCGGGGCTCAAGTTCAGATAGAGACAAAGGAATGACAACTTTGCGAAGGCGAGAGCTGGCGAGTACAGTAAGGTGGTTGTCAGCGTTATCTAGGGTCTTCAGAGTTAGTGAAAGATGCCGCCGAGGTTGCCGACGGGCGACCGACTCTCGCGATAGTGTTCAGTTGATGGCCGGTAAGTTCCCAGGCATGTACGCCAATCAGACCTGCTGGAGCCCTATCTGTAATGCCGTTAGCAATCTCATTCCATAGAACAAATGAAGCAATGGATAGAACTTACAAATGATGAGTGACTGTACAGGCATGGCGAAGATCTGCCAACCGACGACCAGATCATGTCAGCCAAGAGCTTTCTTCGACTGCAGAAATCCTAAACGCCTACCCATGCAAGGAGCAGACAACCTGGCGCAGTTGTTAGTTAAGATGTATCGCGTATATAGGGAAAACTTACAGTCATCAGATGACACTTTCTTGACTAACATAACTTTGGTGTACACTCGAACGGCCAACAAACAAGTGGAAATGGCCGTTCCCACGATCCCAATCCAGAGAATGGTGGCTTCACCTCGTCGTTGTGGGTTCTCGAGGTCTACCACATAGCCACCTGGTGCGGGTACGATTGGCTGAGTGAGGTCTACCATCTTTCGATGGGCGTGTTTGGTGCAAAGATAGCCCTCGAATCTGGGTGTACTTAACAACATGGCGGAGACATGATTTCAATTGAATCTGGTTTCTCAAAGGATTCGAAACAAACTGGGTTTGCAGACCCAGCCAAATGGTAATCATCCAAGCGACGCAGGCTGATTGATCCGGACAATTCCTGTCCCGCAATTGTGAGTAAGGCTGCAAGCATAATGCAATGCGTCCTGTCCATATCATTGCCCGTAGTGGTAATGATGGATCTCGATCTGGCTCTATCGATAGCTGTCACTATGCGAATACCTCAGCTCTTTCCCTTGCCCAGCTGAAGACAGTTTTCTTGACTTGGCGTGTGGGCGACACATGTGCTCCCAGCCTTGTGCATCCATTCCATCTCGGTGCACCTGGGAACTTAAGGTCATCTCCGTCGAGTACCTGGATTGCACTGATGTCGAATTACCCTCTAGCCACCACGAGTGACGTACGGCGTCTTGAGTTAGAGCTCCCGTTGTGCCGCACAGCGGCATTGCCGTAGCGTTGCTACTAGAGAAATTCTGCGGGGCAGGGTCAGGAAAGGGGAAGCTGCTCAGCCGTGTTTTTACTTGCTCTCATTGGATCAAGAGTTGTGTCGCTTGATAAGACGGCAGAGCCGCAACGGTGTTGATCCTTTTGTGGAGAAGACGCCGCAGCCGTACTTCCGTTGGCACCGGGAAGATGGCCGTGCGTCACCTAGTTAGGACTAGCCTGTCTTGATTAGTAAGTTCCTCCGGCAGGATCTCCTCCTTCCCCATTCTCTCCACGCTCACAATGCCTAGGCCCGCAACAAATTCTGCGGCAGACTCCAGATTCGATGTCCTCGAGTCAGGATGTCGGTACGGAGACCTCTACCGGTTTGACCGCAAGGAGCGTAGAGATCATCTGCGGCTGCTGCCATCCGCGATTCTGCCAACTGGGTCAATGGTTCATCACATGTTTGATGGGTATTTGGCCCACCCGCGAGATTGAGATCAAAAAAGCTCATTTTCAGGAGTTCTCAGAGACTTCTCAGCTGCATCGTCTTCATCGTTAAGGGCCGATCACCGCCTGTCCGTCCATCATGTTCTGTCTGAGCCTTACCTTGGTCGCTGCGGCTTTTCTCAGCATAACGCACGCCCAGAACGAATCTGAGGTGGGGAATACGGCCCAGAACCTCTTGTCGAGCTACTGCGTAAGCTTCGTGTCGCCTTGCGTTGCTTTTCTGACTTTCTCTAGTGCACAGCTCTGACTTCGAGTCCTGTAGCCGAGCGCGTAACCTACCCTGGTCAAAACGCGTACGATGCTAGTATCGCCTCTTACTTCGATGGAAAGAGCAGACTTTCGCCCAGCTGTATCGTACAGCCAACAAACGCCGAGGAAGTGGCTACGATTGTGAAGGCTCTTACAACTGCTAGCGTACAGAAGACTTGCAAGTTTGCCGTACGATCAGGTGGCCATACTCCCATTCCTGGTGCCAACAACGTCGACGATGGAGTCACCATTGACCTTCTGTACATGAATGGGACCACCTACAATGCTGATTCCCAGGTTGCAAGTATCTTGCCAGCGGCGAGATGGGGATCTGTCTACGCAGCTCTGGAGCCATTAGGACGTATGGTAGCCGGAGGACGAGGGAGTACTGTCGGAGTTGGCGGCTACCTCCTAGGTGGTGGAATCTCTCACTATGCTCCTCGCGTTGGACTGTCATGTGACAACGTGATCAACTTCCAGGTCGTCCTTGCCGATGGCCGCATCGTAAATGCCAACAAGACGACCAATGCTGATCTTTTCACCGCTCTCAAAGGGGGTAATAGTAACTTTGGCATCGCAACACGTTACGATATGGAGACCTTTGAGAACGAGGACCTTTGGGGAGGAATTGTTTCCTGGCCTGCATCCACCGTCAACCAACATTTCAAGTCGCTTGTCAATTTTGGTCTTGACCCGAACAGGGATCCAAACGCTGCCCTGATCCTGTTCCAAGGATACTCAACAGCCAGCCCTGTCAACGTCGTAAGAGCTGCTTTCGATTACACCAGACCCGTGGTGCGCCCAGCTGCCTATAGCGAGTTCTTTGCCGTCAACAACACCCTCAGCGATTCAACCAAGATCCAACCAATGAGCGCAATTGCTGCCGAGTTTGGCAGTGATACGACCAAACGGTATGCCTCCTTGTTGTTCTAGGTATAAGATCGTCGCTAATGCAAGTGGTTAGAGTTCAATTCCGCACTCTCTCATTCAAGCTTGATCTCGAGACCCTTCAAGAGACCGCGCGTCTCTACGACATCATGCTTACGGAGCTTCGAGCCAAGGTGTCTGGCCAGTGGCGCATTTCGTGCTTACATCAGGTGTTTGCTACAAGCTACACGGCGAACAGTACAGCCAGAGGCAGCAACGTGCTTGGGTTGGAACGCTACACTGAAAACTTTATCATGTATCAGTCATACCTGCTTTGGTCTGAGGCGAAGGATGATGACTTGTTCATTACTCAGGGCAAGATGCTGACCGACGGCATTCAGAATTTTGCCACAGAGAAAGGTACAGCGGTGGAATACCTTTATCTCAACTATGCCGATAAGGACCAGGATCCGCTTTCGGCTTACGGTGCTGACAAGGTGGCGTTCATGAAGAAGGTCGCGAAGAAGTACGATCCGACTGGCGTCTATCAGAAACTACTGCCGGGTGGGTTCAAGATTTCTCAGGTGTAAGGTAACAAACCTATAACGACCTACAAACCTCAGATATATTACCCGATTAGGTAGTTCTCAGAAAGCGTGGATTACAGCAAGACATCTTCAGGCTCCTACGTGTTGTGGAGGATCCGCAGACCCTGCTGTCGCCGGCGTGAGGTTTGCCATATCAGCTGTGAGTTCGCTGGTCAATCGAATCGACTTAGCTTGAAGTTGGTTATTTCGCGGATGAACTGGTGTACTAACTTACATGTCGATACGTACAGACCTATTTGAACTCAATATGCGTTACTTTTACAGATGTGCCGATGTTTTATCGATGTTGGTGGATCGCGTTGCACGGCACTGTGGTGAGCTTCGCCATCAGCGTTTCGGCATGAGTAACCTGCGCAGCATCCGCAATAATGACCCAGCTTTCAAGCGCAGCTTCAACCTCAGCCTCCTCTGGCCTCGTTGCAACAAGCGTTGAGACACGGTGTCGAGATTTATATTCGTTGTCCCTAAACACAATGTCAACACTTGAGAAACCCGCCGTCTTCAGCGCAGCATCCCACCCCTCTTCGGTCAGAACAGGCCCCAGTGCCTCATCCTCTCCGGGCACAGCATCGACATCCTCGCCTCCCCACCAATGGCCTTCGCGCATCCACCATCCTGGAAGCAAACCGAAGATGATGCCATCGCGGATGTTGTCGACGGTGGTCTCCATAATGATGAGCTTGCCGCCAGGGCGCAGGAGAGCGTATAGGTCGCGGAGACACTTCATGAGATCCGATGTGGTGTGAATTAGTTGCAAGCTATGATCACGTTGTTGCTGCCAGGCTCGAAGCCCTGAAGAGAAGGGTCGATTTCGAGGTCTAGTTTGGCAAAGCGCATGTGCTTTTCTGAGAAAGCGAACTTCTCGCATGCTTTTTCGAAGAAGCCGACTGAGAGGAATTCCTAATACTCAGTGAGCGCATCAAGAGATCATGTCGTTGCAGAGCCCATTGCGCGCACATTAAAAAAAAACACTTGTTATCAACGCACTTTCACCGTGTATAGGAATACGAAATACGGGTAGTGTCAGCATCCCATCCACTGGTGAAGATGATTGCCTAGGCCGACAGCCTAACACCAGTAGTTGCGAAGTGAACTATGGAAGATGATTGCACCGAGCCCTGCATTGCATGCCGTCTCACTGTTTCCCACATCGGCTAAGTTGTGGGTGGGAACATTGCACTGCCCCACCGCAGATGCATGATCCTGGCTGGAGACTACGCTCTGTGAGCCCTTTGACTTGTTGACGACTACAGATATCCGGTCGCCGTTGTTGCACGTCAGCCAGCACCTAAGGTACCCACAGAGGAGCCGACGCGGCCGACGGACAATTTGATCACAGCATCCAGATCAGCTATGGCGGTGAGAGGCTAAGGCCGAGGAACGTTCCGATAACAGCAACTAGCAGTTTATGTATGATAATACACGCTCGGCAGATTTCTAGTTGTATTTTCCGGCTAGAGTGACGGAGGCGTAGGGAACGGCCTGAGCACGTCTACAGTTTGAACTAGTACGTTTTGGATTTCGGTCTCTGTGCGCACAGACGCGACACTCCAGCTAGATCGGCGGTGGCTGGGGTATCATTTCAACCACCGCCGACTCCGTCTTTCCATGTCTCAGCACCGACGCGATCATCAGCCCCGCCTTCGCCGCAAGCTCGGAAAAGGCCTTCTCACTGCGCACCTTACCGCCGATGTTTAAGATGAACATGTCGACGGTGCTAGTGTAGACACTTGGCTGTTCAGGGCGCAGATACTCAGCAATCAACACGCGTGAGTCTTCCGCGCAAGCCGCGCGCACGTTTGTCAGAATCTGAAGAGCTTCGTGGTCGGACCAGTCGTTTAGGACGCGACGTATGTAATACACGAGAGCACCTAGAGTGGTCGGTCAGCCTGTTTCCCAGTGCAAGTATCGTGTATCCCGAGAGGATAGGACTCGATTTCCGTACCTTTGGTGGGCTGTTCCCCAAAGATGCTGTGCCCAATCTTCTTCACGGGGCCAAGAACAGCAGAATCTTTGTGCTCTTCCACCGCCTCAGCGATAACATGCGGCTGATCCTGTAGAACACACCTGGCGGCAGGAATCGCAGGCGTCTCCTCCAAAATAGCCTTTAACGCCTGACCTTTTCCTCCAGCAACATCAACGATCAGCTCCCTCTCCGGATCGACGTTCTCCGCGGCAAATGCAGCTACCCAGCCAAAGTCATATACCCCTGTGACAGGAATATCACCGTCAATGGCCATCGTCCCATTCATCCTTGTGGCCAACCCCGGTGTCGCCGCCATGATCTCATACGCCGTCTTATCGGGCATGCCCAGCGCAAATCCGCCTGGCGAACGATTCGACCTAGCCGGCTCAGCGAGCCCGTTTGCCTCGAAGTAGTCTGTCCACCGCATCGTTGGCCCCATAAAGCTGTCGAAGAGGTATGAATAGAATTGCGCGATGCGGGGGTCAGTGAATGCTTTTGACGCCCGTGTATGTGCCACACGGCCAGGTCCCGGGCTAGTCAGCATGCCGGTAGCGAGGAAGAAGGCCGTGAAGCGCTCCAAAAGTTTGTACTCTATGCTCAGCTTTTCCGTAAGGTCCTTGAGGGAGATTCCCTCTTCTGGAATGGCGTCGAAAATGCTGTGCTCAACAAAGACGCGCAATACGCCCATCTCGGCCATGGACGCGAAGTATTTGCCGATTGGCGTCTCGGCCAGAGAAGATTCGGCAGCCATGTTTGGGTAATGGATGGATGGACTGCAACACTGAACGGAACGCGATGGTTGGTCCAGAGAACTCACGATTGTGCGAAGACGTCGAATAAAGCTACAGAGCCAAGAAAACGTGGACGATAAGCAAAAGTTCTGGTCCTGCAAATTAGGTTTGTTTGGAATACCCGTACTGGTAACGCCTCATTCCTGTCATGCAAGTAACCGCACTCGACATTACAGTAGCCCAGCTAGGTTTCCTGGTATTGTACCAAAGCGGAACACGAATCAAAAGCCCATGAGATTAGCCATAGGAATCCTACCGAGCTCTTGACTAGACATGGGCCCATGCCCCAAGCAGCCGAAAAGGCCCTTCTTCGCACCGGCAGTACCCGCCCCAGCTCGGTTCACCGCAACAAGTCTCTCATGTGTTCTCGACACTTCTCAGAACTCCGGCATACAGTCTTGTGTACCTGGGAAGAACTGTAGCGGTCTAGAGAGTTGAAACGCAACCAACGTTACTTGGCAAGATCCCGTACAACTGGTACCGCCTTCACGACAAAGCTGGCACAAGCAAGCAAACGACAGTACTAGAACTTCAACCTCGCGTCAGTGCTCTAATACACGTTTTGATCGAGTGTTGACATCTAGTACGCGATCATCGGACTACTGGTGACAGCACTCGTTTTCCCAAACGCGTCTCTCACAACCTCCTGTACCCAATTCGGCAACCCCTTCAACCATGATATAGGCACCGCAATACTAGGGATGAACAGCTGCGCACCACGCCTGCTAACGGTCTGCCTCACTATGATCTCAGCACCCTTCTCTAAAATCAACATCTTCTCGAGAATCTTTGGGTCTTGGCCACTTCTCAAGATCATCTCCTCAATCAAGGGCGTGCGGACCCAATCTGGATGCGCAATCGTAGTCTTGACACCCGACGCCTTGTACCAGATCTTCAGGTCGCTCGTAAGACCCTCATGGAACGCCAACGCCGCGGTCTTGATTGCCACATAGTCCGCGTTAGCCGAGTTTGTCAGAAACGAGTTGACGCTCGCGACCATATCCGGCACAAACTGCTGAACTAGCCGTCAGTGGGCAAAGATGTTCGTGTCGAAGATACAGCTGAGAAACTCGCTTAGGGTTCTCAAGATGGTGTGAGAGCCCGTGATGCCGGCGTTGTTGATGAGAATTGAGGGATGGCCAAGGCCATTGCGGATGTTATCGGCTGTTTACGCTATCACTGTAGGGCTGGAGACGTCGCAACGAAAGTACGTCAGCAATTCGTTTGATGCGAATGCCTCAGGCGCATCCTATACATCGAGCACTGCCACGCGAATGCCGTGCGAAGTGAGAGCCTCCACGATGGCCTTGTCAATCCCGCTACATCCTCCTGTAACAATCACGATCTCAGAGGGTCAGTTCCAACCCTGGCTTGCGCGTATCTGCCAGTTATTTGTCGCCTATAAATTTAGAGCTGCATTGTTTTTTCTGACTACTCCGATGGTAGGTAGAAACCCCGGTACACAGAGCAAATTGCATTCATCAACGACATGCGAGAGGGATGTTGCTTCCAAGGCGTTTATGCATGTCTGCTCTGGGATGTATAGCACCAAGCCAAGTAGAGGGCCAGTGATGATTGGTTCGAAGGCACATTTGGCGATGATGGGTAGCCCTTTGAGAAGAAGGTCCATGAAGATAGACATGAATTGTTTTCGCAGTTCGGTCATAAGAGGGAGACGACTACCAGAACAACGACATGTCCAACCATTCTGAGCTAGAGTGTTATGATCTGAGCCGGTGGCTGGGGTAAAGGCATCACAACAAGGCCGCGAATCAGTACCTTACCGTTGTACGGCAAAGCTTACCGCAGCGTTTATATATAGCTCTATCCGAAGTCGTTCCGTTAGCTTCATCCGGTTTCCCCCCATATCAGCCTATGCGAGATGATGCCGATCTGACATCACACCGAATCGACGCATCGAGAGTCCCACCGAGTCGACTTGATCTCTGATCCAGCCATTTTAAATGTTCCTTACTAATCTATAATCCACTTAGAGCTCAGTACCATGATAGCTGTGGTCCAATTCCTTGATTGCCTCCAAGTTCCTAGCAAGTCTAACGCTGGAGTCGAACTACTTGAGCACGTACATGGTGGGCCGGTCCTTGCGCACCTAGAGGAAGTCATTGCATTCTCTTTTCAGCAAGACTTCGAACTGGCCAGTAGTCAACCACCAAGATAGGCGTTCTAACAACCACAGAGAGTAGTCTTTCAAAATTGCTCTTATACAGAGCAGTGACAATTGTCTTCCTTCTTATTCTAGCGTCCAGACTGTAATATAGTAACAAGACGAGATCATCGATCCCGCATGCTTCTCGCCTCCCGTACAAACTACCCTTCGGCTAGCAGTATTCGCATGACAGTGAGACTGACCACCCCGTGAACCACAGGATTAGACATGGCATGGAACTTGATAGCGCGCCCCCACCTCAACACTTCGTCGAGTACGTCTGCGAGGAAGTCCTCTCGACACCGGGCAGCACAATCGAAATGAACCTGCTAGGTAGCGACATCTTCATTACCGACCGAGCCGAGAACATCAAGGCTATTCAAGCAGATCAGCTTACGGACTCTGCCAAAGGTCAAACGCCACATAATGTGTTTAGCAGTATCTTGGGGGACTCGGTTTTTACCACGGAGGGGCCTTTGTGGAAGACGAGTAGGGAGAAATCAGAGCCGAATATGTCGAGGGTGCGTCCGGATGATATTCCTACCGCTAAAGTCCATATGCAGAAGCTTTTGAGATTGATCAAGAACTCACCCGAAAGGCTGGATGCAAAGGTCCAGATGTGGGGATATAGTGGAGGTGCTCTGGCGTCGGAGTGGGCTGCTGAGCTTCAAGCAAACTACGCCCCAGAGATCCCCTTTGTTAGCATGGCCATCGGCGGGGTGACCCCTGACGTCAACAATGTTTTCACCACAATCAATAAGGGTCTATTCGCTGGTATCGTTGCTGTTGGTTTTATTGGCTTGGGAAACGCCTACCCTGACTTTGGAAAATATGTCCAGGACAGCCTCAAGCCCGAGACAGCTGATGCTTTCAACCAAGCTGGTGAGATGTGCTTCTACGGCGACGTGAAAACATGTGCGGGTCAGGATATCTTCTCATACTTCAAGCAAGGAAAGGCGATCTTTGATGGTACGTTCATCCCGTCAGGGACTTTGACCCTCCCCAACTATCACAGCTGTATGAGAACAGTAAGACTGACTTGACACTCATTGTAGACCCTATCTCGAAAAACACCATAAGGACCGGTGCGACCATGGGTCTCCACGGCACCCCGTTTATGCCTATCTTCGTTTACAAGGCCGCAAAGGATGAGATTTCGCCCATCGCCGACACTGATGCGCTCGTGGACCAATTCTGCAAGGCGGGTGTTTCGATCACATACGTCCGAGACTCCTTCGGCGAGCACTTCACCCAGGCCGCGACCAGCACCGGTGATGTTCTCAACTACCTCACCGACAGGTTCAACGGTGTTCCCATTTCAGGCTGCGATATCCGCAACGAGTTCTTGGATCTTCTGGATGCTGGCTCGCCTGGAAAGCTTGGTATTTCGCTTGTCATGGTTCTTCTGAGCGCTTTGGGTGTTCCGCTTGGTCATAATCACTTCTAGTGGTTCTGTGATGAGCGGAGTGGGGATGGTAGTAGGTGTACATAGCTGTGTTATCTTCTTTATCTAGCGGTAAATCTCGTCCGTAGAATTACTCGCTAGTGTCTCGCAGTCTAGTAGCTGTAGATACCTTTACCAATGTTAAAAGAGCGCTTTTTCAGCAACACTCAGCTGCGTTTAGACCGTATCAGTCGACTGTTTGCTGAGTGCTGACATTCTATAGATGGCGAGGAATGGTGCCAGCATACTCGCCCTAAATCAGATCCATGCGTCGCAGCTGATTCCTTTTAACCCACCGGTCAGCAAAGTCAGGGTGAATCTGGCCAACACCGACACATTGATACTGTCTAGTCTCGCGATCCAAGCACTTCAGTAGTAGTTTCTCAAGAACCCAAGCGAGTTCTTATACAACAAGAAACAGTGCAACTTTTCGAGATACTCAGGAAAGTCCAACTCAACATCTCCGGTAGTTTTACCTTCGCCGTCTAGGAGAATACCCTCGACCGTGTCAACTTGGGGATCAGGCATCCAATTGTATGAGTCTTGTTGGTGTGGCATTCAGTGGGTTGCGAGAGCGAGTGATGCTGTTGTCCGAGTGAGAAGCCACAGTGGGTTTCTTGCTCAAGGGGCTGTCGCAATTATGTGTATAGTTACATTCCTCAAACCAGACGCCTAAAGTGTCGAACGTTTTCTGGGAGAGCGCATGTTCGCCAAGGTTTAATCTAACTTCCAGTCAGTATTGTAGGGCCTTTGCGAAATTGTCTATGCCTTAGTTTGAGATTAAGGTCGAGCCTAAGAGTGCACAAGGGGCTTGCCTTCATCAGCGTACCATATGTACATATGGAGGATTCCTTCCTTCGGGGTCGACGTTGACTCTGTGCGTGGAGCTGTAGCGCAACCCTCCTGCTTTAAAAGCGAGCATTGTAGAATCGTTGGTTTTCGTTCTGCATCCATGTTTTTATGAAAACCGAGTTCCGCGCTGATGAACTTGCACATGGGGCAGTGTGATTTCTGTATTTGTTTCGCTACTAGCGTATAGCCGTTAGGTTTTGAAAGGGCGTCTAGGTTGATGCCGGCACATGCGTTGCACAGCTTTGGCGGTTCCTCGATGCGAACTAAATCTTTCTCTATTGTAGCTACAGTGATTCTCTTTGACGTTCAGCGGCCACAGAATATCGTTGCTGAGGCAAAGGGCCATGAGGGGCTGAGCTACCCAGGTCTTTGTACTCGCGACTGCTGCCTGCCTATGCATCTAGAGCGATTTCGGAAGCTGTTTCAAGACTGAGCATCGCATTAGGCGCATTTTCGTATAGAAGCTTTAAGCGTGAGGCAGTTACGGCTGAGACTCAACCCGGTGAATAAATTGAGTTGGCAGTATCTGGACCTAGCCCCAAATTAGTCGTCGATCGGTCAACGCCGAGACAAGTGGTACCTAGACATGTTAACAGCCGGGAAATCGCGCAGTTCAGATCACCAAGGAAGTGTGTGGATCAGAAATTCAGATTTGGCAGAGTCGATGCCGACTTGCGCTCGGCATTTCATTCTCGGTCTACGTACAGGGACCATGGGCGTATTCCATCCCAGGCCTCTGCCATCTTGTCGCTACGTAAACCTTCCAGTATTGCGAAACCAGTTTCCAACCCTTGCATTCCCTCTTGCGCGTATAGCGGTCCTGCAGATCCATCTAGATCTGAAGGCGCTCGACCTTGTCCTTGAGGGTGCGGATTTGGCCCATGAGGTCGGAAGCCTCGTTGGTCGTAATGCTAGCAGCAATGACGGGCCTGGCGACACCGCAAGCGCGGCCGAGAGCCATCTTGGAGGGGACGTAGACGTAGGGAACGTTCTTGTCCTCGCAAAGAAGAGGCAAGTGGAGGAGGATGGCGAGTGGGGAGGTGTCGGCGGCGAGGATGATCAACTCGCTAATACCGCGGTTGAGAGTCTTGGTGGCCTCGTTGGCTCCCTTCTTTAGTTGACCTGGTAGGAAGTTAGTACTTGTCTCACATATATTTCGTATAGCGTTATGTCTCACGGTAGTGGGTAGCCTGTTGGACGAGGTCGAGGATCTCCTGGGAGAGAGCCTGATCGGCTTGGGGCCAGGCGGCGCTGTTGTCTTCGGCCATCTTGTTGGAGGTTGAGATATGTGGTGGATAGTAGGGTTCACTGCTAAAGCTCGTCCGAATGAGGATTCCTATAATGTGTCAGCTATGCGATGAGAGTATAGACATGCGACCGAAGCTCGTGTAACCGATAACGGTGTGGGTAGGCGACGAATGTCGACTTATCGAGAGAGAAATAGCTATGCGACTTACACTGCTTGCTCGCCCGGAATTAATTTGTGGTGGAGGTTGTGGTAGTTTGGAAGTTCGAGAAAATCAAAAAGTTCATAGCTGCTAGGATTATCACTTGGCACACCTCACGTGTGGCGCTAGTGACAGACTAGGCATAGAGCAAACCCGGGCGACGTCCAGCTCTTCGCCAACCATCGTCACCACTCCTCGACATCACAACCGCCCCCGTCGCCGCATCCACGACTCCCGTCCATCTCAATAAAGATCTCGACAACCTTCTAGACGTCTCGTCGAACACATACATCACCGCAAAGATGGTCTCCGAACTTTGGTGAGTGAACACGGAGCTCCCTTGTTGGGTATGCAGATAGCTCCAGCTCGCCTCTCTGGAGATAAGCTGGGCATGCGACTGCTACCTGAACATCGGAGGAGCTTCTTCGTCATCAGTTTATACGTACAATAGCTAACATGATGAATACAGCCCCGTCTATGCTGTAAGTCCTCGGACCAACCTCCGCTTCGCCTCCCGACGCGACAGCACCGCGTCAACCTCCGTCCATCGTCATAGCTAATGAACAAATAGCCCTTCTTCGGCGCGATGGGCTGCACGTCAGCTATCGTCTTCGCTTGCTTTGGCGCGGCCTACGGAACCGCGAAGGCCGGTGTTGGTGTTTCGGCCATGGGTGTCCTCCGCCCTGACCTGATTGTCAAGAGTACGTGACGAATCGTTCGCAAGATGTCGCAACGTCCAGCACGTAGCTAACATGCTTCAGACATTATTCCCGTTGTCATGGCGGGTATTATTGGTATCTACGGTCTCGTCGTGTCCGTCCTGATTTCCAACGGTCTCTCACAAGAGTCTTCGCTCTTCGCCAACTTCATCCAGCTCGGCGCCGGTCTCGCCGTCGGTCTTTCCGGTATGGCCGCTGGTTTCGCCATCGGTATCGTTGGTGACGCTGGTGTACGAGGAACTGCCCAACAGCCCAGGCTGTTCGTCGGAATGATCTTGATTCTCATTTTCGCTGAAGTTTTGGGTATGCTGTTACAAATTCTGAAGTCAGGCTTATACTAACAGTTACTAGGTCTTTACGGACTCATTGTTGCCCTTCTCATGAACTCCAAGGCTAGCGACGCCCACTGCTAGACGATTAAGCACGTTCGATTGCAGATACGACAATACACAACTGCAACAAACAAATAACGGCATCGATACGCAAAGTCGTTCAGCGATCTACGCATATGACGCGCAATACTCACATGCGCGGCATGTCTCACGTCTCCATGTACTATTCGAACGGACGGACAACGAGGGCTTCGAAGTTGGGAAGCGAGGTGGTAAATAATGGCATCGGTTGAGGTGCACTTGCGATCCATTTGACGGCGTGTATTTTAGGGTCTCATCAATTTCATTCTGCGCTTGTAAACGAAATGCATTGGTTTCATTTAGACATGTTGCGCCTCGATTCTTCTGATGCTTGGACTGACGTGAGATAGTGGTGCGCAAGCTACCAAGTGATGCGACTACAACCCCATGCCACTCTCACGGCAGTAGGACGACCTTCGGATCATCGCGACCATACAGACGTCCTGGCGTCCCTGCTAATTCCGACGGCTCCCTACACCCCATCTCTACTGCTGCATTACCGGCGTAAAGTTTGATCGGCGCTACGGAAGGATAATGCTGCGCTTCCAGGTTCTTCTCGTTGATAGCGCTATGTGGCAGCTCCACACTAGCAGCCTGCTCCCGTCGTCTTTTCCCCTTCAGCTTCCATGCTAACAAGGTAACGAGTGCAACCAGTATAGCTATCGATCCTGCACCGACGCCGACTCCTGCGCGCGCTCCAACACTGAGCGCTTGCGACGCGGTCGAATTGTCCGATCTCGAAGAGGGTGGATCTGCGCTGTTGCTTGGTGATGAGTGTGGGATGAGTGTTGATGTACTCGACTCTGACGATACTGGAATGGTTGGCGTTGAAGATGAAGCCGGCAACGATGATGACAATTACCGATGCCGATGACGACGTCGAAGACGTAGTTTCGCCCACGGCCGCTGCCAGCGTAAACAAGTTCTCCGTCTCACTACAACACTCGGCAGCACCATAACCCCAACGATTCTCCCCACATTTCCTCACCGGCGCATTCTCGTCCTACCACTGGACTCTATCAGCATCCCCAACCACCAATCACGGTCCGGCATAGATCACTCCACTCACCATAGTCTCATTACAAACACTCCCCAAGCACTCCACATTCTGCCACGTCGAATCCGTACACCCATTTCGCCACCATAACTTCACGTTTACGTTCGTTCCGTCGAAAGCTTCGTAGTTTTGACACAGTCCATTGCTCTCACACACGTCGTCTGCAATGTTTGTTTGACCGGCGCCTTGGTGGTAGGTGCCGCAGCAGAAAGAATCGCGATCAGGGTCACTGAAACATGGTTGGTAGGATATGCCGGTTATGGGGCTGCCGTCGCGGTTGTAGCATGTGCGATTTGTGGATGCTATTGGAGTACGCGGATGGAGTTTAGGTTTGGGTCGAAGAAAAGAGAAGGAGCGGATGACGAGAAAAAAAGAAGTGGTCGCAACAATGTGTATTCTTCATCCTTGCTGCGTTATGATGTATTCCTTGCTCTGCAAGAGGCTCAATTCCGCGACTTGCCTTCACGCGGCAGCGCGGCCACTGTGCATAACCGCGGCGACGTTGGTCTCAGCATATGCGGCTCGCCGTTGGTTTGTTCACCTGATCTTCAATGCTGCTTTCCTCTAGTGCTCTCACGTTTCTGGGATGTGGCGTGGTGGTTGTTTGAAGTCAACGGGTCTCTCTGCCTACTAAGATCTGCATTTCAGTACCCGGGGGATCAAACAAAGACCAGGTCATTAGGGAGCGATATACAAGGCTTTAGGTAATCTATGCATACTGTTATCTTCTCATATCGCACTGTTCCTGCATCGATCTAAGTCCAATAGAGTGCACCCGCAGACGGTTGGGGCGGCAACCAAGAGCGGACTAGCGTGAGCAGCCAACATCGCGAAGGGCTCCTCCTTGCTTTGCGCAGATCAATCAGCGCACAGTAATGTATTAAGAGCAATGCATCTACCAATCGAGTCTTGAGAGATGATGTATTAGGAGACTTCGAGTTCTGCTTCCGTCGTAGATGACATGAAGATGCTGGATCAGGCTAGCTCCTTGACGACCTTGCCTTGATCCCGCCCGCGGGCAGCTGCGAGGAGTGTCCTCGCCATAATCATCGCAATCCATCTCAGCACGACTCACACGCAGTCTTGCACGCCCGCCTACAATGGCACTGTCCTTAGAAGACATCAAGTGCACGCGAGTTACATGCGGAGCAAGAGATGACTCCATGGATGTCATGGTCGTTATGAGTCTATAAGGTAATAAATATTGGAATAGGAGAAAGATGGAGTCTATAGGTACTACTAACAGTTCATGACCTATGTCGCACGATTTACAAGGCCAAATTCGCACGTTAACGACACTCATAGACCTGGAGCCTGGAGCTCATGCTCTAACTCGGGGTACTCCTTCTTTAGAAACCGCACCATCTCATCATCATGATACTTCCAATTCGACCATTCAGGTGGTGTAAATTCTGCAATCTGCGCCATATCTGGTGATATGAGGGTCAGATGCCGACCGGTGAATATCTGGGCCAGTCGCTGGGGTTGTTGAGCTGTCGGTAGGCGGTGTAAAGACACTATCGTAAGATTCCTGAAAAAGAGACTGAGTTCAGTTGCGATGCCATAAGGAAGGATATACTGATGTTTCAGTGAGAGGTCGCGGACAACAGAGACATCGAGGTCGTAGTGGTTGAAACAGCCGCGGCGGACGCTGTCCATCACGCCATTCTGCATGGTCAGTCTGAACGTAGCAGACTCGACCAGGTAGTCGGGATATGACGGTATGGAAGGGAGTTCAGAAGTGTTGAGTGCAATAACCCAGCTGCTAGCATCTCCTACACGACGCTGGGAGAGCAGAGTGTTCCTTTCTCTGTCATCTATGGCGTCTTGACGTTTCAAAGGGAACATGTCGAGGCCTAACGATTCTATGTCGACCCATTCGGAAGAGGTCATTTTCGTGGGGTGTCGTAAAAGATAAGCCCTCTTCTTTATGAACGTCTCACGTGGAAAGACAGAATAGACGCGATTCCAGGTGACAAAGTTGCTCAGAGAGGTTGATGAAGGCAGTAGGGCCCCGAAAACCGGAGTCTTCTGCGTTTCCACGATACTGATTTCGCTGGACTTTCCATCGGAATCGACTCGACTCATTGTTATTCGAACCTTCTGGGGAGAGTTAGCGAGACACGCGTGGAACATACTAGTCGGGAAAGCTCATTCGAACTTACAGAAACTTGTTTATCCTTGGGCGTGGGAGTTTCGAGACGGTTGTATCCATCTCTCTCAAGGAAGGTGCGTAACGCATCAGCATTGGATCCTTTCTGAACAAGGAGGCTATACAATCCATATCTACCGCCAGTCTTTACGATCGACTTCCTCGCTATGAACCCGTATGCAAAATTGCCTCCTATGAGTATATTGTGTCGGAATTGAAGAGCGCGGAACTCGATAGGAGAAGTGACGAATTGCTTCAACCGGTCGTTGATGTTGAATTGAGTGCGCTCCACAAGCTTGACGAAGCCCATGAAAGGCTTTGTGGTCTTACTGAGCAAAATAATGTCGGCAATGTCGAGCTGCTCTAGGCTGGCGTCCTGGACTGGAGCATATCGAGTCAACAAATCCACGATCGGAGGTGTCTTCTTCGGTTGGCTCCATGACTTGACTAGCGTAAACAGACTTTTATCTCTAAGAGATACGACAGCCAGGGAAAAGAAGAAGACGATTATGGGAGCCAGACAAGATATGAAGGGGAACATGTTGGCGGCTTTTCGACGTTGAGCTGCTAGTGGAGAAAACGTTGAGCGACAATTGAGGTAGATTATATGTTGAGATGATCAGGGGCCTCTATATACAGAATGGGGGTATAAGCAGAAGTAGCGGCCTGCCAGGCGCAACAGCCTTGCCAGTCTAATCACTAAGCAGCTCTTTTCACCGACTCAAAGACCGATAATCCGAAAACAAGAGTAAAGGAGGGTACTAACCGAGTGTGCGACGACGCGTTTTACCCTCAGCGATATCGCTGTCTAAGCAAACGAGATACGCCTTTTACATGACCAAGAGCAAACGCAAACTGGGTCAAAGACGTCACAAGTACACTCGCCGCTCATCTTCTCTTACCAAGCTCGAGGTCACGCTGGAAAGTAAATGTCTCTCACCTCGAAAGTAGCTCCACCCCTAGGGATACAAAGTCGCCTCCTTCTGCGTCTTCCTCCTTTCTTCTTCTTCTTCTTATCAACAAAGGGATTGAGGATATTTCAGCAACATTTACACTCCACTATATCTTACACGCATCCCTCAATTCCAATCGACTTTGATATATCCTTTCCAGCCCTAACTCATCATTTTCAACTCCAACATCAACAAGATGTCCAGCCCATTGGGAAACCAGCCTCCTAGGCGCAGCGGCGCTCCCTCATCTGGAAGCCCCTACAACACTCCTCGTCATGGCCGAATCCCATCACGCACTGGTATCGAGCCCATGTCTCCTCCTCAAGCCCAACAGCCCTCTATGCCCAACCATCGCGCTCCACCAAAAGTCCACCATCTCCAAGAAGAAGAACCGACCCCTCTCCAACGCTGGAATGGCGCGTCTGTGAATCCCTTCATGCGCTGGGCTTACACAGTCCTCGATGCTCGAGGTTCCACTCGTCCTAACTACAACTACGATCCGGACATGAATAACGCGATATATCTGAGCGAGACCATCGTAAGCACACCTCCACTTCCTCTCCACCTATACCTCCAACAAAACATATACTAATACCACCCCACAGGACGACTTCGACCGCAACCCCTCCCTCGTCCACGAACTCGTCCTCCGCATCGCAAACCCCGAACTCGGCCATCCCTCCATGGACTGGATCCGCGCGAACCGCTCTCTCGTCGACATCCTGCTCTACCGTCACTACCAGCGCTACGGCGGTCTGATGTTACCTCCGACGGCGGCAGCGCTTCGGGCCATGGAGCAACACGAGGCCGCGATCGCTGCTGCTAGAGCCGCTGGTGTGCTTCCGAATGAGTACCCACACATCACCTTCCCGGCTTTTGGTCCACCTCCGCCGAGGGATGGTGAGGTGGGCTCGCCTAAGGGCAAGGGCAAAATGACTCCGGGGAAGCCGTCTGGTTCTCCTCCAGGCAAGGGCAACCTATATGGCAGTATTGGAGATAGGGGTGAGTTTGGCCGTGGAGGCGCGAGTGGTGGCGGTGTCTATTACTGAGTATGTTGTACATCTCCTCGCTGGAATACATGTATGGGTCGAGGTGTTCTGAGATCTTTGTGACCTCCTGGCTGCATTACAGTATTGTTCTAGAGGGCCGTAACGACTTCAAGGAAACCCAGGCTAGTTGGTACTGAAGCTGTTCGTACGCTTTTGAGATGGCCTGGCTAACCTCGAGTAATTCTCTGAAGACGAGTAACCAGTAGAAAACGACACATGACTTATTACTGGGATGACGCAAGACGGCTCCTTACTGTGCGGGTATAGCATGAGATGACTACATGGGTTAAAATGGGATGGTTTCACACATAGACACAAATTGGAAGATGAATATTGAAGTATCATTCGTATCATTACTATCATATGACCATTACCATACTTTTGTACCTACAACCCACTCTTCTCGTTCTTCTCATCCCTGATGCTGAGAGTCTCGACGTTCTCAGCATCGCCGATCTCACGGCCGCCCACGTACTTGCTCTCTTTCATGTTGTTCATGGCATCTTCCTGAGCATCTGCCTTACGGAAAGTGAGGTAGAAACCGATTCCACCGAACATGGCAACAACAGCGACGGAGCCATAGTTCCATACGAGAAGAGGGTCTTCAGACAGACTGACAAAGGCCTGCCCAAGAGCGGCGGAGACAGCAGAGGTAGAGAGGGCAACGGCCTGGATGGTGGACTTCATGTTGTTGGGGGCCTTGGTGTACGCGTACTCGAGCTTGGTGATGGAAGCAAGAATCTCGGACATACCGATCAGACCGTAGGGGAAGGCTTGGACCCAGACGGAAATATCGGCGTTGCAGTCTTTGCGTGTCTTGCTGAGGGCGTTGATGTTGCTGCCGCAGGGTGACATCTTGTAGATGTAGTATTGAATGACGCAGGCTGACACCATGGCGAACGAGGAAAGAGCGAAACCAGCAGTGATCTTCTTGATGGGCGAGAGGTTGACGCCAGCCTTGCGGAGAGCAGGGTAGACGAAGAAGTCCATGATTGGGATAAGGATGACGATGAAAATGGGGTTCAGCTTTGAGACGATGTCGTTGGGTGTCTTTCCGAGGTTCATGGTGTTGGCTTGGGAGACAAGGTTGTTGGTCATTTGGTTGTACGCGAGCCAGTAGAGAGGGTACCACAAGAAGACCTTGCAGGCGAGTATACCGCGCTTGACTTCATCGACCCAGGCATCGTCAAAGGTCATCCAGTCAGGGACAGCTTGGCCGCTGGCACGGAGAGCAGTAGGCTTGATCCTGTCCCAGAAACCATCATCCTTGAAAGTATTCCTGCGGGGTGACTGCTTGATACCGAGGCCGATGAGCTTGAAAGCCTTGCCCATGACGGATCCAGTGGGTGGCGAGAGCTTGTAGTGCTTCTTCATCGTGATGAGAATGATGGGGCAGAGGAGGTAGCAGATAGTGGGTAGCGTGTAAGAGAGCCAGAAACCGACGAAATGCTTGATGGCGTTAGTATATGCACACAATACAGCCTGATTGGAAACACACCTCTGAGTAAACCATAGCAATGGAACCGCAGATAGATCCACAGTTGATCAGGAAGTAAAAGTAAATGTAGATACGCGCAGTGGTAGTAGCGGGATCGACAATTTCCTTCTGTCCATTCTTCCTGACACGGACGTAGGCCTTCTGGTCCTTATACTGTTCGGCGATGAGTGGGGAGATGTTACTCTTGAAACCACCAGTTCCGAAACCCATAACGACAAGACCGACAGCGAAGACACCGATGGCGACATTAGGCTTGACGATAACTGCGGGGATAGCAGACATAATCAGAATAATGTGGCCGATAAGAGCGATAAGGTTAGAGTACTGGATAGTTTTGTAACGTCCCCAGTACTCGTCAGCGAGCCAGGCACCACCGAGAGGCGTGATGTAAGACCAGAACTGGTTAAACATGGTGAGACCGGTGGAGGCACGTTGGCCCATGTCCAGAGCACCGGAACTGACGCCCTTTTTCAAGAAACCAGCACCAGTTTTGGAACCAGGAGGCAATGGCTTTTGAATGAAGTCTGGTAACAGTCAGTGTATGCCCAGATATACGAGCTATCAATTAACTTACTGACGAAGACAGCGCTGGTACCGTAGTAACTGAAGCGCTCAACGAACTCAACAGCAGCCACAGTCCATGCTTGCCACGGGATGCGACCAGCAACCCTGGGAAGAGTCGCCCATTCCTCCTCAGTAGGGAATGGACCCAAGAGGTTGGTGTTCTCATCAAAAGAACCAGTGGAGCTGGTGTCGAGCGGGATAGGGTCCATAGCAGTGGCACCCTTGGTGATCTCAAGAGACGCCTTGACGTTGGTGTTGGCCGCCATTGTACTGAAGAGAACTTGAACTAAGTTCAGGTAGAACAAAGGTAACAAGGTACGACCGCGAAATTGAATGCGCGGGCGGTGGAATCAAGTGAACGCAACGGGCGATGAACTTGAGTGCCTGCGGTTCAGACAGGTGTACCATGCCCCTCTTCATATACACCCAGGCAAAGTCCAAGACCGAAGCTCTGGACAAGAGTTGCACAAGGATCGCACGCGACTATCGATGGTGCCCACCCTCGCCATGGCATTTCGTTCGCTCGGTTCCCGTGTTATCACATCAACAGCCATCCAAGACCATGGAACGGCGCCTAGTCCGGTCGGAGGATCATACAAACCAGACCTTCAGGCATACTGCCGCACTTAAGCGCGTTGGTTAGAGGCATCCAAGGCCGTGGTAGCCCCAGGATCAGGATAAGATAGGAATGAGCGAAGGACCCGAGCGCCAATACGAACAACCAGCCTTGCTCCATGGTCGCGGCGGAACGTTCGAAAAAGACGTGCCAAGCCTGGCTAAGTAGGAAAAGATAACGCTCAGGGAAGCTTCCCATGCGGGCGCGCAGAACGCGCCAAGGCAGGATCCATCTCTTGGTCTTGTCACCTCCCCTTCTGGCCCTAGTCACGATTGCGACACGCCTGAATGGATCTAGGATCTCCGCCCGGATGGTAGCCAAGGCCTTGGACGTAGGGTTATCAGTATAAGCGTTTCATCACGGTTACCTCCTTCTGCAATGGATCACGCGCGAGATGATGGCTGAGCGGCGTGGTTGCGACAGGGCGTTGGAAAGTTGGAGAGGTTGGTGTTGAAGCGGCGGGTAATATTGGTGTTCACATAAACCTCACGCTACCAATCAAGCACAGACCTGCTAGCGGAAAACTGGCGGAAGGCATGGCGGAGTGATCACCGCACCAACGAATTTCTTTTGATTTGACATCTATGGGTATCTACTTCCGAGTGGACCAAGGTGGTAACATCCACTGAGGCAAACTGCTATCAGCTGCAGACCACCCTTTCAAAAACTTTTGTCCTTATCTCTCCTCTTCTCGGTCTCTCCGAAATCTCACTTGCCGGAGAAAGTCTTCTGACTTCTAATCAACCGTCCCGAATCAGTTGTAGCCATTTCCGGATGCTATTGGTGGTCAGTGACATTGGCGTTGTAGAATTGATTTCATGGGTATCCGAACCTGGATGGAACTCTTCCGCGTCAGGGCGAGGCACGTGAGTGCTCGCACCTGATCCTGAAGGTGGCTGCTGAGGAGGAGCCGAAAGACCTTGAGGAGATGGCGCTTGTCCTCGTTGGCCTCTTGAAGATCCACGGCCACGCTGAGTTGGTTGTCCTTGATGATACGGGTTGCTAACCTGCTGCGGCGGCATCGCGAAACCGCTGCTTGTTCCCGTCTGCGAAGAGTAGTCTTGGTGGGTAGAATACATCATTTGGCTACCAGTCCAGCCACCGCCATGTTGCTGTCCTGGGTTGATCAAGGGCTGCTGTTGGTAAGGCTGCATAGGGTAGCTACCCATGGCCGTCGCAGCCATGTAGGGACTACCATACGCATACTGAGGATTGGGGTAAGGATAGTAGCCCTGAGGAGCATTCGGAGCGAGACCAGACGGCGTCTGTTGTACCATTGGAGGCACACCAGGGCCTTGATTGAAACGGCCGCCACGATCCGAACCACCACCAGGCTGTGAAAGCCGACCCCTATGAACACCCGAACCCTTTCCACGACCATTTCCGCGACCATTCTCATGACCTCGTTCAGCCTGATCAACCCTCATACTGAGGCTAGCCAGTTCCCTCTCCAACGTAACATTCCGGGCCTCGAGCAATGCGACAGAAGCAGCGCGCGGTAGCGCAGGCGCAGCTGAAGGCGAAGGGGCCTGTCCAGTACCCGTCTGCTGTGGTCGAGGAAACTCCTGACTCGGGTCCTCTCCCAAGGAGTACAACATGTATGGTCCGTGCACGATGGCGTGGCGAGCGAAGATACGGAGACAGTGCTGGCTGCCTCGCTCGGTGATGGGTATAAACTTTGACATTTCCGCCGGTGTCAAGAGTTCGGAATTGAGGAGGCAGAGGCGAAGACGTTCGATCGTGAACGGGAAATCTTCATATTGATCCTGGGATGTATGCGTCAGTACTCGCAATCAGGTGATGAAGGGGTACCTGTTGAGTCTCCTAGATGCACTTCACGTACTTTTCCACCATTGTATGGCTTAATGGGAATTCACAGTGTGCTCTTGGATCGACTGATAGGAAATAGGTAAGCGTTTGGGTTACTTACGAGGCGATCCAGGCATTGCCTTCCGAAAACAATAGCGCGGTTCCAGTCCATCGTCGTCTTGCGCTCCTCCGGGTAGACCCGCTGAAGGAAGGGGACGAGCTCAGCATCTACCCAGTCTTGGTCGATCGGCGCAGGGGAAGAGTTGAAGGTAGCAGGAGGGGTTGGGCCCGACATGATGGTGCAAAAGGTAGGTCGAAGGAGAAAAGAAGATCGAGTCAAGTATGAACTTGAAGGAGAAGAACGCAAAGTACACTTGATTCTACTTTCGCGAGTCGCGTTCTGGTGTCGCAAATAGAGAGGAAGAAAGAACTCAACTCCTGACAACACCGAAATATTATATATACACTATCGAGTGAAGGAACCAGCAGGCAGCCGCATTGTTTATCTATTTATCTTGCTCACTCTCTCCTTCACTTTGTTATTTTGACGTCATCTCGGTATTCACCCGCGAGAAATCAGCTTGCTTGACGAGCGCGCAATTGCTTCTTTACGCGTTACGCTCACCTCGACCAAACGCACTCCTTTACTGCGACAACTGCCAAGTCGATCAATCCGTGCGTATCTCCGACTGTATGTTTGATTATCTCCGGTGGTATTCCATCTTTCGGAGTATGACATGCGGCTGAAGGTAGCGCTCAAATCTCTATGGTACCTTCTAGATAAGGTGATGACTGATGTCTTGGCAATGTAAAGGACGGGCGATTAAGTAGAAGGATATGAACTTTGAAATATAATTGAACCGGCCAAATTTTGGAAATGATCTTGAATCATTATGACGTTTCCACATCAATGGATTTTCTAACATCATTCTCGCCAACCTTCCATCAAAAGTGCGTAAGCAAGCGAAGAACATAACATCTAAGCAGTTGAGATTTCAGGTTGGCAAGACGATGAAAGCAATTTCTTCAAACTAGTTATAGCATCTCAAGTTAGCGTCTTAGTCCTTTGGGCTACAACAGAATATACAAATAAGACTCGCCAATGGCCTTGATGATAAGACACTTCGTACAACACTTTCCTCGACGACCTACCCAGGAGAACCTACACCCCAAACCCCAATTTTCTCAACCCATCAACACTCCACCACCCTCCTCCTCCCCCCTCCACAGTCCTATCAACCCCTCCTCGCTATCCCCCACCACCGGATCCTTACTTGGCATCCGAACCCTCCACACTTCCTCCTCCATCCCCTCATGTTCGCCTCCAACCTTGAAGTCCCAAACACCCCCATAAGGATACGCACCCATCATCATAAACTTCCCGCCCGTAATATCCACACCTTCGAAATATTTCCTCCTCTCTGCCTCTTTCGTCTCATCAATCTCCGCCGCCCGCCCCTCTTCCACGTCCTTTGGTTGGTGGAATGCTAGTTCCTCGTTGTGTGGGTTGGGCAGGAAGGTTTTGTGACTAACTCCCGCGGGAATGATGAAAACATCCCCTAAGCCCGCTTGGATCTCTACGCCCCCTTCCTCACCATCTCCCCTCTCACCCGGTTTGTATCTCCCTTGTTCCCAAGTCGCGGAATCAGCGACGCCGAAACGAATTGTAGCGCCTTGGCCTGAGATAACGGTCATGGCTTCGTGCGTGGTGGAGTGGTAGTGCGATTGGATATCTAATCCATACTGCGCTATCCATTGGGTTTGCCAGCCGTTGGATGCATACAAGTCAAGGATCTCAGCTGTCTTGAAAGTCGGTGATGTTACGAGGTCATAGAGAAGTCCAGGGTAGTGCAGCAGCGGATAAGGCGAATTCGGAATGAGGGGCGTTGGGGGAAGTTTCCAGGAGTGGACTTTTATCGGCATCTTCTGAGAGGGCATTTTGGAGTACTTGGGTTTGACATGGAAGATCCCGCAAAACAAACGAGACAGAAGATGCCTGAAACGCCCCGTCGGATGGTGGCGACGGGAAGTGCCGTCGAGGGGTTGGTATAGAACAGGGGCGGGGTTGAGTTGTCGGTAGGAGTGGGGTACAATAACGGATGTGTATATGGGGAAATGCTTACCCGAATAGGAAGTCACAGCGCGGGATTCTACGTCAGAACCATGAATAGAATGTGAGCCGAGATATCTGCATTTGTATATTTGCAATATACCTATGCCGTATACCTGCAGTTTCGTGATATCAATTTTTCCGAGTCGTTCCTGTCGCTTTGAATAGCCTAGAGTGCTGCTACTGCAATGGGCAAAGTTACGAAATCATGTGGGGCATGCAACGTAGAAGTCTCGAGCACTCTATACCTACTCGATTTTGGCGATTTACACAGTGCCTTGAATTTCTCCTGACAGCCTAGGAGCGGAGCTGAAGAAGTGCAGCTTTAGTGCAGCGGTTGTACTTATCCCTTGCGCAATGCTTACCTGTTAGAGGGGTATATACTAAGAGACACAGGAAAAGGTTTCTGTAAAGTTCCTGCCTGAATACGCGCCTGCACTCCTACGCTCCTACATCTTTACTACGACTCTAATCTAACGTAGACGTACTGACATCTTGGCATACATCGGACGACTGGGAACAGAGCTGGACGGGCCAATAGGAAACCGTGCCTTCCAACATCGAAAGCCTCAGACTGAGTGTACTATGCAACTAAAGCTGCAATACATGTATTCCGGTCTTGCGCAATATACATGTGCTCGCCTTGGGCGTACTGTTCAAGATCCCACTGTTACAAACCACTCATCCTCGCTGTCAAACACCCACCCCCTTGCACAATCCTCGACTCCCCACCTCGCTCCTCTTAAGCACTGAATCCTTTCCATCTGCTCCCCTCTACCTCCCATATCTACACACAGTGAGTCGAGATGTCTAGACTTCCAACGGCAAAGCGGAAGATCGTTTTCTGATGGGAATATAACATGATTCGTATATGTTAGACCGCTACCTACGCAAACTCAAGCACAAGCTTCCCCACACTCTTCCCCCCCTCAATAATCCCATGCGCCTCTCTCACCCCCTCTTCATCCATCTTTAACCTCTGCCTACAATGACACCTCACCACCTCCTGATCCAGCAATCCCGCCAACTCCCTTAGAATGCGCCCATGGCTCTCCACATCAACCCCATAGTACGGTTTCGTGCCAAGCAACGCCCACACAAACGTAAGACTCTTTGCCATGAACTCCGTGCCGTACATGGACATTTCTTTGTCTTGGACGATGGAGCAGACTTTACCAAAAGGAGCGCAGATTTTGGCGGCGGGGGCGAGGTAGCCGGATGTAGGTGTGTGGGTGATGAAGATGTATTTGATGGGTACCTCCAGCTTCAGTTTCTCAACTTCCTCCGCGAGGTCGTTGTGGTGGTTGATCGTATGCGTAGCGCCTCCTACGTCTTTCGAGAAAGCGACTGTCTCTTCCCTGGACGCCGTAGTAACTACAACAGGTAAATTGAGCACCCGACGCGCAATCTGACTGGCCACACTCCCCACACCACCCGCACCGTTGATGATCAAGATACCAGCTTGCTCCCCCTTTTGTATCTCCATTCGCTCAACCAGCGCTTCCCAAGCCGTTATCCACGTCAAAGGCATAGCAGCAGCTTCTCCCCAATCCAAACTCTTCGGCTTGAGCGCCACGGCTCGCGAATCTACTAATTGGTACTCTGCATTGCTTCCTTGCCGGATTGGTGAGCCGGCGTAGTAGACTTCATCGCCGGGTGCGAAGTCTGTAACAGAAGATCCGACGCTTTCGATTATGCCGGCGCCGTCAAAACCGAGGATTTGCGGGAGGGAAGGCGTGCGCGTGTAGTAGTCTGGGTAGTCGTCGTAGATGCCGGCGCGGACTTTGGTGTCGACGGGGTTGATGGAACAGGCGCGTAGGCGGACGAGTATGTCGTGGCCTTGGGGGGAGGGGGGTCTGGGGATGGACATGGATTGCAGGTTTGTGATGGGGCCGTACTCGGTAACTGCAATGGCGTGCATTTTGTCGTGAGATGACATTGCCTTTCTAAGTTTGTAAGGGGTTCTGTGTTGTTGTAAAGATGCATGCTTGAGGGCATGTTCATTCTTTTATCAGGCAATTTCTCGAGACTCCACTGTTTGGAGCATCGCACGTAAAGATGCCATCAGAGGCTCATGACGTCACACATATCCTTGTACTTCGATATGAGGATGTCTGATGTCTCATTGTCAGCTATGGCCGAGCTGTTCCCGACCGATGAGACGGATGTATCAATCGCGATGTGCCGTTGATGTGTCGTAGCACGGCAGATGTACTGTGGTTTATAGGGAGAATCTGTGCGCTGGGAGGACCCGATCTCGGGAGATAGTCCAACGGCTGTGACCGGGACTTGTGCTGTGGCTTACGTATCTAGAACCCTTGCAATTAAAGTAGGTAGCAAAGTAACTGAGGCCGTCTGGATCCATGCAATAGGCGCCTGAGGCCGTAATGCGGGCTAGTCATCCTCTAGTAACAGGTACGAAGTTACTTTGGCACATGATTGCAAGTCGATGCAGGCCGGGGGGTACCGTCACATACGTGGTGCATAAAGAGGGGTTGCTTGCGGTAGATGCAGGCTGGGACGAGAGGAGCTGTGGTACAGAAAAGTGTTGTGTTCCGTGGGGATGACCGGTGGGATCGGGGACAAATCCCTGCGATGGAGCGAATGAGCTCATGGTGAAGCATTAGCTGCTACAACCGTCTCCAACCACAGCGCCTTCCCATAGTAATGCCCGTAGTAGTGATTGTTGCTTTTCTCGATAGATAGTCGCCACCACGGCATCTTCCCGATTTTCCCAGGAGCGCTCCAGGAGAGAGACCCTTTGGACCCCAAGCCGCTACCCTCGCCGTCGCCCGAAGCTTGGAAAGCCACCAATTCGGCGCGCATCGATTATTGCGCAGTGACCTGCTCCTTCCGCACACCACCCTCCCGTCTCCAAATTCGCTGCCCGCGCCCTATCGCACCGCCGTATCTTGTTCGCTGGAACCGAGTCGCCCCCAAATATCGCAACGGTCGAGTCTCCATCGTGCGCCCGCTTAATCGCATCGTGAACGGTTCTCTTGGCACTGCAATCCCGAGGCTACCTGCGTCACCACCCACCGCCCTGCGCCCACGGCAGCCTGCATACCTCTGGAGCGCTGATACTGGTGGAGAGCGACACCAGCGTCGCATGTAGAAGAACACTGTCGTCTTGCGCTTGCGGGTCATGGCTTCTTCTTAACAGCAGGAAGAGCCACCTTGCACCGGTACACGGGCCAGCAGCGATAGGGACGGCAGACGGGGATAGAGTTTCGAGTGCGCCTTCACTGTGAGGCGCCTGGCCACCATGTCACAACCTCAGTCCGACGTCTATGCCATGCTCGAATCATCCTTCAAAGCCTCGCCGAATCTCCGCCAACCGAAACACCTGCCGCGCCGTAGCGACGACTACCGCACCTACTCGAGGGCTGCAGCGCCCCTTAAGCGCGACTATTCCTATACCACACAGGCGACCGATGACACGGATTCGATAGCCGACAGCGAGCACTATACACCGCTTCAATCTCCAGGCGCATTGCCGGGAGCTGACAGCGGCCTCCCGCCTACTCCGCCCACAGCTTCCCAGGACGGAAGAACTGCACAGATGCCCGAGCAACCGCTACATGCCGACAGCGTGAGGAATTCCATTATATCGCAGAAATCGTCCCTCAGCACGCCGGTCAACGCGCGCAGTCCTCCAACGCCCGATCCCAGTCCACCGCGAACCAACGCCTCCAACGGCACCAATGGCACGACTGCGACACTCGAACGGCCGCCGATATACACATATCCCTCTTCGCGCGCAGATTCCTTCCAGACCGCCAGAGAGGACCCTTTCTCGTCGGATCGCGAAGACAGCAGAGCTGCAACACCCGCCAACGACAGGCTGAGCACCGTCGAAGAAGACCGCGGACTGGGCCTGGCTTTCGAGCACGACCAGCATGATGTCACGCCCACGAACAAGCAAGGCCCGTACTTCCCCACTACTGAACTGGTGGACTCAACGGTCGGTGCTGAGGAGGACAAGGGATCCCAGATGGTCGAGGATATCCCAGATCGGGAGTGGAACACAGACCTCATGCGCAACGTAACGGTTCGCAGAAAACGCAGAACGCCCTCCAGCACGCCTCGCAAGTCATCTGCTCCAGCGCGTATCCCGTCACCCGTCGCAAAGGCCGTCGAAGAGCCCGCTCCCGCCGTCACCATCGTCGAAGCCGCCTCACCGACCCCAAGCACCCGAACCCGACGCGCTTCCAGTCTGCGCGAACGCGTCGAAGCCAGCCACAACAGCCCCGTCACGCCCTCCATCGAGAACTTTGCGCATTCAATTGGCTGGCCCTCGGAGGGCAGAGGTATGTCGGGCGAGAGGCAGCGCGACAACACCAACAAGCGACTCTCCACAGCATCCGTGGCCTCGACGGTCGTGTCGGCGCACGTCATCCTCACTCCACCGCGACGAAACCCAACATTGCGACACTCTGGGCGGAACATGGCATACAGGAGAGACTACAGCTCACCCGCGAATCTCGGCTCTGAGACCCACTCAAACCGCAACTCAATGATCTCGCAGTACGACGACACACCGCCTCATCGCCTAGTACACAAAAGGACGAACATTGCCGACAGAAGCGCGAGGTTCAGCACCAACTCGGATGTCGGTTCATCGCGCATCATGTCCCCGTCGCTGTCATTGCGACAGAGGACTATCGATAGCTCGGCGCATACCCTGGCACATCAAGAATCAATAAGAAACGTGCTACAGCCTGCAGCGGACATAGTCAGTCGACATAGCACCGTTGCGCGATCAGGCGGTAGCTATCACAAGCGAGTCAACTCTGCGCCTGAAGCCACAAGACGCACGCTGTCTTCGAAACCAAGGAACTTCACCGAGCTGCGGCCCTCTGAAAGTCCTGCGCCCATGGAGGATCCCGTCAAGCGAATCTCTGTGCGAGCGCCGTCACCCCCTATGCGAGCGCCGTCGCCTCCTGTGCGAGCGCCATCACCTCCTGTTCGAGCGCCGTCACCGACACTGTCGCCAAAGCCACGTCGAACGTCACCCACATCGCGCAAAAACAGAAGACAGTCACAAGTGGTTACCGATGTGAAGCTGCCGGCGAATCTCGAGAACACATTGCCCGATCTTCCCGATCAGGGCGTAGATGGGCCAGCTGAACGTGATGTCTTCATGGGTGCGAGCCATCCTGTTGAAGAGACTCGTGTGCCATCTGCGCTGACGGATAGAGTCCGTCTATTACTTGCGGCTCGCGAGACTGCAGAGTCAGCTACTCTTGTTGACTCTAAGCAGAACCCTGCTACATCTGAGAACCTGGAGAAGTTTTCACCACTGAAAGACACTTCACCTCATCTGCGTCAGGGCCCAAGGCCAGTATCATGGGCGAAGCGAGCATCTCTATCTCCCGAGATGGCAGTGCGTCCCATCTTGAAAGACCGTACATCGACGGACGAGGTCAAACGCCGCAGCAACGCATCGCGCCCTGAATCTGGAGACCATGGCCGCGTCAGTTTCGACCAGTCCGCTTCTCGGTCTGCTTCGCGGACTGAAGAGCACGCCAATGCTCGGCACCTATACTCCCAATCGACGCCATTCTCCCAGTTCTCCGATACGGTTGAAGTCACCGAGGCGACTGCTGTGAGCATCTACCCCCACAACAATCACTCACTCCTCGTTGTACAGCAGTCACGCGGAAACTCCTTGTTGCCAGAACAGCGTCAACTGACCGGCAACACCTATCTCACACCGCAGGACGACCGTGGGGTGCGGAGTACACCCAGTCCACCGTTTGTAGAGGCACCTGAGGCACCTGAGGCACCTCAACAAGCTCACGAGGAGGTTAACGAGCCCTACCCCCAGCCCACTCTGACTTTCGAGCCCTCAACGCCTCCAATGCAGTTTGACCTACCCCAACCTGATGGTGTTGAATCGCCTCTCAAGAACCCCCGAGACCCACCGGAGCCACCCATCATCAAGTTCATACCTCCCACGCCCATGGAAGAACTCGAGAACCAACTGGTACCTCCGCCACCAGGACCACCCGAGCGGTCTGATTCGCACCCCCAGCGCCGACTGTCTGTTCTCCAGCGAGCACGGCGATACTCCGACAACCTCATCACACCACTCTTCGGTCGCGCTTCCAACAACCGAACACGGTACGCCAGCGACCCCTTCAAGCAGCACATCCACCGCAACCCCTCGGTTCCTAGCGTCAACGAAGAGGACGGCACCCTCCACCCCTTCTGGCGCCCCCGCGGCTTCTGGGACGGATTCGAAGACGGCGACTCGGAAGACGATTCTGATGAAGACAGCGGCCTCCCTTCCGGCGGCGACACAAGCGATATCGAAGACCCAGAGCCAGAGCCCGAACCCTTACCCTCCCGCCCCCGTCGCGCCAGCACCATCAGCAACAAGCTCAAAGGCGGTTTCCGCGGCAGCGGCGGCTTCCTAATCGGCAACTCCATGGGTCTCGAACGCGCCGGCACAAACAAACGCCGTCACCACATCACCCTTCCCCCTCACTTCCGCACGCCCCGCACAGCCCGCCACCTCGCCTCCCCCGACAAAGTCATAATCCAAGCCCCCGCTGCACCCCTTGGCCGCCACCGCGGCGGCGGCGTCTCAAAACGCCGTTCAAGCCACGACCTCCGCCGCACTGCTTCCCTTCCCGATAACGTCTCCACCGTATCCATTGAATACGAACAATCGAGGAGAAGTAGGGGTTCGTGGCGCCAGGGCAAGAGTCTGCCCGGTCTGAAGAAATATCATGTCCAGTACATTGGTATTTCGGGGGTCAAAGAGCGATTGAGGGAGCGCAGGACGGAGAAGAGGAGAGAGAAGATTAGGAGGAGTATTGGGAGCAGGTATTATGTTGATCCCGTGGGTACGGGGTCGGTATAGTAGCTCTCTTTTCGACATCTTTTTTTCGCGATTAGAGGCTACTGGCGTTACTATTTTTTTGCAAGTCGTTGGATTCCCCCTTTTGTTTTTATTGCCCTAGCACACATATATTGCATATCACCCTTTCCCCTTCTTTTCTCTTACGACGTCATGACCTGTTTTTGCATTTTTGGCTATATACCTGGATAGGTTTGGGATTTGGGGGAATGGGCATCAGGTCTCGCTGTTTCAGTCTTGTTTTCACTTCGACTTCTTTTGCGCATAGGAAGCGAGCAGGCAGGTAGGCGTAAGAGCAATC